CAGCGACGGGGTAGCTCGGCACCGTCCCATACGAATGTGGCGAACGAGGGTGTCCTTTCTGCTGAACTTAGTGGCGCACCGAGGGCACTTCAGGGACCTGAGCTGGTCATCTGTTAAGTCCGTGGGGTTGGCGTACTTCTTGTGGACCGAAAACATGTGGTTGTCGAGGCCCTTAGGGCCCTGGCACATCCTGGAACATATCGGGCAAGGTAGCAGGGCATCAGGTGGAGGGGCGATTCCCGCGGCTATCTTCTCTTCGTCATCGGTAGTTGTGCTTCGCACTCCTTTGAGTCGGGCCCTGGGGACGCAACGCAACCAGCGAAGCCACGGGCGAGACGGGTTCGGGAGCTCCTCATTCAGGCCGTGGGTGTCCCTGGCTTGCTGCTGGGCCTCGGGGGTGAGGGTCCTCCAGAGGTGTCTGAGGTCGTCCAGAAGAACTCCCAAGAGCGAATTAATCTCCTTATGCTTGGGGCCCTCGAAGTTGAATCGACCAAAAACCACCGCACGGACTAACTTCGTGGGGTCATACTTCGGGTCCTCGGGGGCCTCGTCTGGGTTCTCCTGGGCCAAGAGCTCCTCGGGGGCCTCGTCTGGGTTCTCCTGGGCGCCGTTCTCCTGGGGGCCCTGCTGTTTCTGCACGAGGTCGGGGAAGGCGGGGCGGAGAACTCCTTGCCACCACGCAAGCCGTCTCTCCAGCAGTGTAGAGGCCACTGTGTACACCCTGGTGCGCTGACGGATCTCAGAATTGCTCACATGATGTACGTGTGCAGGAGAGCGAGCAAGGAACCTCAACTTCCGTGTTTGCCAATTTTCTAGACGAGTGAGGTCACGCTTGGTAAGGACTGCGACTTCGAGGCCGTACAGAGCAGACGAGCGTACCAGAGAGCACCACAACCGAACTCTAAGTCGGACACTGAATTGGCACTTGAAAGCACGACGAGCTAAGCGAGCGTGGGCAGCATTTCCTCCCTGGATCCTGTGCGTAATTTCCTCGACCATCGAACTATCATCACGTTGCTTAGCTCCTAGGTACTTCACGCTCGGGGTGGCGTTGATCAAAGTCCCATCCATGGTCACGTTGGTTTGTTTAGTTCGAATCGTGGTTTTCCGAGCCTTACTTCGTCTTCCCGTGGTGACAATGAGCATTTCTGTTTTCGAGTCGTTAACTTTCATCTTCCCCTTCGTGATTTCACTCTTCAGAAATGACAGGAACCTCGAGATCGTTTCGAAATCCTCGACAATGGTGAACGCGATCAAGTCATCAACGAACTTTATGGGCGATACTGGTAAGCATTCTTCCCCATCATTTCCTGGGAGGAGGTGGAGGTGACGAGTTTTTTCCAACGTCGGGTCGAACACTACAGAGACCACGGTGAATTCTGACATGGCGTGGCTCTGCTCTAAGTTGGCGGTGAGCAGGTCGTAGGCGGCGATGAACAATAGGGGTCCCTCCACGCTCCCCTGGCGGACGCCACGGGAGATGAGCAGCTTCTTGATGGGGCGGTTGGTCCGAATATCTCTGGCGATGTAGCATGTGCCTTCATGGAGCTCCTCGACCGTCAATCTCACGTTGCGCCTGAGGGAGAGGCGCTCTAGGGCATTCCAGATCTCATCGCGGTCGACCAGGTCAAACGCCTTCTCGAGGTCAATGAGCACCGCGAGGAGCATGCCTGGGATCGCTGTCTTGCCGAGGCGGGAGGCGCGGCCATGAAGTCTGTATCGTCGGACCACTTCGGCTACGACCGCCAGGGCATCACGGGTAGAGCGGCCTGCCAGGGCACCGAACTGTGAGCTGGAGAATCTTGAGGCCAAACCGCGCAGTGACGGCATGACTGTGACGTTCATGAACACCTTCCCGATGTGGTTGATCAAATTGATGGTGCGGTAATGGTCTTTCGCGTTCTTGCCGTCTCCCTTGGGTTTCCGTAGTGAAACCGTTTCTCCGTCTTTAAAGCGCTGGGCAGAGTGTCCAAGGGCCTGGCATGCGTTGAAAACTCCATGGAGCGCCGGCGTGGCTTCGGTCGCCAGCAGCTTCCAAAGTTCGATGATGGACCCGTCATGCGTGTCCTGGTCGGGGAGGTCGGTCTCCGTGTCTATCAGCTTGAGGACAGGCGCACTCTTGAAGTTGGGCATCTTGAGGATGGCCTTCCTGACATCATCTGGTGTGTATGAGCCGATTCTGGTATCGTCACGTGGAAGAAGTCCAGGGGGGCCGCCAGGTGTGGCCATGTCTATCATCGAGCCCTCGAAGATGCTGCACAGGGCCCGTACTCGAACGTCGGCTTCTTCAGCGTCGTCCATGCAGAGGCCTCCAGACTCGGGGTTGTTGACCGTGACCGTGGGTGCGGCAGGCTTCGGGGCGAGGCGGCGGATGACGCTGTGGAGCTTCCGCAGGTTCTGGTTCGCGTCGGCCGTCTCCGCTTCCGTGGCTGTGTCGGCCAGTCGTTGGCGGCGTTCGGCTCGAACTGCTCTGGCGGCTTCACGATATGCTGTGTCGAACTCGGCCTGCATGGCAGCGTAGCTGTCGGACTCCTGATTGGTCATGCTGGCCATTCTGCGCTGGATGCGATGCTTGCGGTCGATCAAGGCCAGGGTGGAGTCCTTCAGCTTGGGGCGGGTCAACTTCTGGGGCTGTAGAATGTAGTATGGGGCCGCTACCTCGATCAACGTGTGCTCCAGGGCGTTGAAGTAGTCTGACGGGGTGGCGTATCTGCGTTCGTCTCCGCATTCATCAGGCCACTGTCCAGACAGCAGCCGTTGGTCAAGGAGTGTCACAAATTTCGATCGCATGTCCACTAGGCGTTGGGGGAGTTCGGCATCGGGGTCACGGAGAAGGTTGAGGTCTTGTACTAGGGCGTCTCGGTCCCAGCGGGCGGGCTTCTCTTCAGGTCGGCGGCGTGCCCGAAGGCCGACGTAGATCTGAGCCTGAACTGGGCGATGGTCGCGGTAACCACTGAGGCTGACAGGTAACTTCTTCAGCGGGGCCGCCCGCTTGCCATAGGAACCGTGGAGCCTGGTGCAGATGTAATCGATGGTGGTCCATCCAGGGCCTGTGGTGTGCTTCCATGTCCCGTTCTGGCGGTTCATCCTGCCGAACGTGTTGAGGGCGGTCATGTGGAACGTCTGCAGGAGGTCCAGCAGGCGCATACCGTTGTAGTTGGTGGCGGCATACATGCGGCGCTGGCCCGCGAAGCCAACGTGGGGGGGGTTCGGCGACATGGCGGCGTTGGCGTCCATGGTGACAACCAGGGCAGTGCGGCGGGGGATTTGCTGCAGGGCGGCTCGGCATTGACTCCAATATTTATTCTGAAACTCTCGATGGGCTGCAACTTTCTCATGGTGATCGGTACCCGTCACGGCGTGGCTAACCTCATTCAGGGGGGCGTAGCCGTTCAGGATGTAGACGTCTCGTTCTCTGGGGCCCGCTCTTCGTAGTCGGATCCCTTGGAGTCTGCCGTCCAGCCAACTGTGGGAAACGCGCAGCTCGGAGGGCAGAAAGTGTCGCAGGCTGAATGCTATCAGGCATCCGTCACGGCTCGTACGGGTAGTGCGTGGTGTCGGGATAACTCTGTAGCCCTCCGTCGTCCACGGCAGCCCCAGCTCAAGCAAAGTGCTTTGGAGGCACACCACCGACACATTGGCCTTGGTCGCTAAACGAAGTAGTTCTCCGAGGCGGTCAGCTCGAAGTAGGCTCTCGCAGTTGTAGCTCCAGAAGGTCATCAGCTGCTTGTGGCGATGAGCTCGTCGGGTGAGACGTGCATGGTACCTGGCGGCGCTGGTGGCCAAGTCAGGGAGGTCAGCAGGAGGACGCGCAGGTGGTGCCCCCGAGGAGAAAGTGGAAGAAAGATGTTCAGCATCACCCTGGGCCCCCTGGCGTCGGTGATCTGAGAGGAGAGCTGCGGCGGTGGCCCTGGTGTACTTCTTGCCACGATACCACACCACTCCGAGCAGGTATAGAGCACGAGCGGCTCGTCGAAGAGCCCGTTTGCCTCCCCAGTGCACTTGCTCCCTGGAGGCCGTATTCGGCATGGTGAAGCTGATCTCCAGGTCCAGGACCCGCGTGCCAGGGTCCAGCGCTCACCTCACCGACGTAGAGGTCGTTGGTGTTCCCGCTCCTGGGCGCCGCACCGCATGGGCCGCGCACGCGCGGAGGGGAGGTGTCGAGTGAGTCGGTCGGGCTGGGAGTTGCGACCCAGCACGCCCTGAGCGTGCAAAGATCCTTCGAGCCGTCGAGGCTTCTTGATTTCGTCCGCCGGCTTCCGCCGACCTTTCCGCTGGCGGAGCCGCCGTCGTTGCACTTCCGCTGAACGTCGTGGGCCTTCCGCCGGCTTCTGCCGAGGGCGAGATGCCAACCTCTTGGTTGGTCCCTCGCAGGCGAGGCTCTTCATTTGAGCGCGCTATATGAGCGCTGCATCTGACAGACTGTGCTGGCACTGAAGCTGCAACCGACGGGAATGGACTGGACACCATCTGCGTTGGAAACAACACTTCGCATACTTGGACACCCGTTTGCTCGCACACAGACATGTTGGAGAGACTGCTCTGCTCTCTGGGGTCAGCTTCTGGACCGCGGTGCCAAGCATGCTTCCAAAAACAATCATCGAACTTGCGGCGGCAGCCCTAAGGACAAGTATGACCCCATCCCCCGCTGTTTCCTCACCCACCCTCTTCACTCAGCCTGGTAGCTGGATGCAGTCGGGACGAATTGCAGCGGACAGCCGAGAGGATACAAATCTCTGCCAAGGGCAACCCATGGCCCAGGCATGAAGTGGACATGAGACGCTACCCACAAAACCTTGCACGTGCCCTTGATGTTTGCGAGGCCGGCCTGTTGAGCAGACTGGGCTACAATGTGCACGACCTGCGACGTATTGCGCCTGGACGCGCCGGCAACCAACCAACCGAGCCTTGTTCGTGGCAAGAAGCATGCGGCAAGCAACATCTTAAGTCAGAAGGAAGGAACTCACCACCAACAGCCGCGAGGAGCTGGGGCGGCTGGCCTCCCCAAGGTCTGCCACTGCGGACTTGTAATGGTCCACGATCGTCAACATCGCGTCCCCGGCGCCAGACACGCCCACCGGCCAGAGGGAGTTTATCTCGCCGTGCGGGCGGCGGAGGTCGGCGTGAGGGGGGAGGAGGAGGAGGAGGAGGAGGAGGAGGAGGAGGAGGAGGAGGAGGAGGAGGAGGAGGAGGAGGAGGAGGAGGAGGAGGAGGGTGAGGAGGAGGAGGGGGGAGGGAGGAGGGAGGGAGGGAGGGGGGGAAGGAGCCTGGAGGAAAGGGCACCTGGGCCCGCGATTATCTCCATTATGGATACCCTGGGGGTCCGCCGCGGGCCCCGGGGCCGTCAAGAAACGAATCGGGATGAAGTGCTGGCCCTGGGGAAGGCCCCCAGGCACTAAGACCCCACTGTTCCCTGCATCGCAGCGAATTGAGATCCCCTCGGCCAAACCAAGGGAAACAGCGGCTTGATCTAGAACAGTCACACGACGACCGCGCGTCCGAAACCTATCGGCAAGCCACAACGGAAAACGAAGCGAAGCATGTCGAGGGAATCGAAACTATCTCATTGATTGTGGGTGCCCCCCCCCGCGAATTGACTGCAATCAATTCAAAAAATGCGGAACACAGTCCGCAGACGATGGGCGAACCGCCATACACATGTAACCGACCGCCCTACCACGGATTGCCCCCTAACGCACACCAATCGCCCAGCAAGTGGGCAGAACCTCGAAGGCGAGCGACCGAGGTGGTGAAAAAACTGCTTCGAGTGCCTGGGTGGCCGTCCTGGGGTACCTGGGCTTGAAGCCGGAGCTTGGATACATAATTGTGCGTTCTTCTCGCGCCGCTGCCGTTGACATGCGCCCAGGAGCGCGCGGATGTCAACCACTGCCGCGGAAGAGGAGCACATCTCTTCGGACGCGGAACACTGCTGCAAGCGGCGAGGCGGAGTGGTCGAACAAGCGCGCGCCCCCCACCGACCTCGGGCTGACCCTGTCAGAGGCTGGCGGGAAAAAAACAGAGGTCACCCTCGGCCTCGGCCGAAACGGGACTGCCTGGAAGTTACCGCCACACGCGGTTTCGCAGTGGGTTGCGTGCTGCACGGCTGCAGACACGCAATGTCTTGATTACTTCAAGTTTCACGGTCCCCGGAAGTCCCGACCGTTTCCCTGGGACCCTGTTTCATCCTGAATTATGTGTTGGCGGTTCCGGGGCCTGGCGAGGGTCACCAGAGACTGAAAACGGGCAAAAACCTCCCGTCGCGAACTCTTGCTTAGCGTGTCGCGGAGGCGGCCCTGGCGACACGCTATGCCCTGCAAGCGGATAGCGTGCCGCTTCGCTCCGCTGGGCGGGATGCTCAGCAAAGCTTGAGATGCTGCCGCTCCGGGACCAGGAAGTGATCAGCGCGTCGCGCCGAGGCGTGGTGGGCCAGAACTGGCGGAGCGACACGCTAAGCCAAAATTCCTGATCGGGGGCGCACTGACCAGGGTCACTGCAAACCTGGGCCAGTCGGGCTTTGCAAGATCCTGAAAAATCCTAGGAGATCCGGCAAGATCCTGCGCGCCAGCCTGGGGCAGTGCACCCGGTGCACTGTAAGATTCTGCAAGATTCGGCACTCTGGCTGACCCGCGTTTGCATTGACCCTGGAGAGCCCAAAATCGAATCGATAAATCGGATCGGTGATCGACATGAATCGGATCGGCGGAAATCGGCAGCCAAGTTCGGGAAAAATCGAATCGGCAGAAATCGGGAGGCTAGTAGGCCTCTGGTAAGGAATCGGAGTCCAAATCGGGATCCCAAGTCGAATCGAATCGCAATCGGAAGCCATCGAAACCGAATCGAATCGGATCGCAGGAATCGAAACGAGCCCTGTGCCCCCCGTCTCCCACAGCTCGACCTGACCGAAGCCCGCGGAGCCCGGGGTGCCCCCGCGAGGGCCGAGGAGCCGAGCGCATGAGGGCATCCTCCGCGCCCGAGCAGCGGGAGGGGGGAGGCCCCGCGGAAGCCTCGGCGCTCTGGCGGCGGAGGCCTGGGTGCGCTGTGTCTGCTGTCGTGGAGGGGTGCGGCAGCTTCTGCTGTCGTGACGACCCTGGCGCTGGCTTCTGACACCGTGTCGATCGTTCAACCTTGAGCGATCGGCGGCTTTCCGATCGCCCGATCGTTCCATGTAGGCCGATTCTGCTGTCATGAAGAGGCACGACAGGGAAGAGGAACCGAGCATAATAGAACTAGACGAGCGCGTTACACTACTCGCAAAGTAACTGCTCGCAAGTGGCCTGGATCCGCCGCGGGGGATCTACGATAAATCTCATCGAAGCGAACATATGTTGTTCGGACGTTTGCGAGCAGGCACTTTGCGAAGAGTGGAACGCGCTTGGTGAAGAACAGTGGCCCGTAGGGAAGTGGCGCGAGACCTCCTTCCCGGCAGAGCGCCATGATGGAAAATTGCGGGCGAGAATCGGCGAAGGCGCCTGGCAAGGCGCCACATGGACACTGCAGGCTAGTAAGACAGCACAAGCCAGCCTGGGCGTGCCACGGGAAGAGGAGGGGGAGGCGGAGGAGGACGCCGAAAGGAGCATCACGGATGAATGGCCGCAGATGTCCGACAGGACGGACAAAGCAGGACGAAGTGCCAACACGAAGCATGGTCTCGAGCTCGGGCTTATCGGTTCCGGAGAGACTCGGAATCTCGGACCTTGCGAGGCGGCCCCGACGGGTGGGGGTACTCGCCCTGTCTGATATCAGCCAGGTTCTGGCGGCCCTTGGGCTTGACCTGGAGCCCGTCGTCGCGGGCTGGAGTCCGTCGTCACGGACTTCCCGCAACGAGAGCGAAAAACCATAGCAAACTTGCCCCAAGACTGCAGCGGGTGGGACCCGTGGAGCTCTCAACCCGCCAACACCTGGGGCCCAAAGAAGGACGAAATACCCTCACCAACGACTGGGCGGGGCTCACACCTGGTGGCGGAGGACGGCGAAGGACAGGGAGAAGGAGGAGGAAGAGGAGGAGGAGGAGGAGGAGACACGGCGAAGGAGCAGGGGGGGAGGATGATCGGGTAGGGTGAAGAGCAGGGAGGATGACAGCGGCGACGACGAGGAACAAGAGCGTGGGCAAGGGAGCGAGCAGTGCGCCAAGTGATCCGAAGGGGGGCAGGGGGAGCTATGTACCAGACTGCCAGTACGACCCGACGTTGGCTCCTGGAGGCCCCAGGAGCCTTCCAGACCGTCGAAGGTAGACAAATCGGCCTTAAGATAGGGGAGGCCCCAAAACGACTCCAAGAGGCCGTAAGACGGCCGACCAAGACGCCAGGAGTGCCCCAAGATGGTTCCTACACAGCCCCCAGATGGAGGCCAGTGGCAATTGGGGCAAACTTCAGGTCCAGGGGAGCCCCATCTTGCGTCGCCAGCCTCCCCTGCAGTAGCATGCAGACATTAAAGGTGACCGGAACACTCTTTCAAAGTCAAGCTGCCCCGAACAACTTGAAATGCTAAACGTACGAAACAATGAGAAACACGCAACTGTGAAAAGGACATGTCAAGCGTGCGAAATCATGTGAAGCAAACTGGTCAAGCATGCGAACCGTGTGAGACGTCGAGCGTGCGTGTCCCGCGAGGACACCACGAATGAAACAAACTGCCACGACAACTGTAGCAAACAAACACCACATTACGGGCCTCCGAACCGTGGGTCCGCAAAAGCACGGCGCAGGGCGCGGAAGGCCTGCGTGTGCGTCTGCATTGCGTACTCCACGACATCTTGGAGCAATTTAGTGTACCTTTGCCCGCGCCACATCGAGGGATTGCCAAATAGCGCCAACCAATGGTAATGTATAGTTGCCCAGGCGGCATGCGTATTCGATGTTATTTCTAAGCGTGCGCGCACAGAGTCTAAGTACTCTCGGGTGTTGTCGATTCCAGAGGCGGGAGCTTCAGAGAACGAATCACGCAAAGACAGTCGGGCCATGTCTTCTGGTAGAGCGTGGAATTCAGAGAACGAATCACGCAAAGACAGTCCGGCCATTTTTCTGGTAGAGTGTGGCAGACCCAACACGCACATGCTGAACAGCGTTCACACCAAAGAAAGAAAACGATGACCACTCATTGGCACCCATGTTTCGAGACTGCGCATGGGCGCGGGAGAACTTCGGGGCCCCAAAACCGTGTGGTGACGGACCGCGTGGTGACCTCGGAATCCCCAACGACCTCACCGCGCGGCCCGTCAACACGCTGTCCTGGGACCATGGAGGCCCCCGTCGTCCGACACGTCCTCGGAGAACGACCCGAGACCCAAACCCGTGCGGGCGCGGTGACCCCGAGCACCCGGACCTGCTCACCACGCGGTGTGGTCACGACGCCGTCTGGGGGGGCCCCCGAGAGAACATGCTCGACCGCGGCGGCAGCGCCAGAGCGGCGAGAGCGCGGAGCACGAGGGCTGCTGGCCCCCCTGCAGGGCCCAGGTCTGGCCGACCCCTCCCCGTCGCTCGGACGTCCATTCCCTGTGTTTTGTTCGGTTTCGTGCGCGGTTTTTTCGTAGGATGATCCAGAATGCTCCTTAATAATCCCCGCCGAGAAAAAGTGCACACGTCCGAGCGATACCAAGACCCCGGCGCGCTCCTTCCCGTGAACGCCGACCCCCACATCCCGACGATGACGGGGCTCGACCAGCATGTCCGCCAGCGCCAGTACGCATGCCTGCAGCAGAAGCCTCCCTGGAAGGGCTCGGCTTCAGCGATGCGTTCCGCGTTCGTGTTGTCTTCGCTTTCCCGCGCTCTGCCTTCATTCTGCCTTGAATGCAAATCGGAATCAAAACGAAAACGGTCCACGAAATTGCCAAAATACCAGCTCGAGCCCTGCTCTCTAATGTGGACCGAGCAGATTGATGAAAGAACCACTCGCCTCCAAACCTACAGCGAGGAGGAATGGGCGAGGGAAAGACAATGAAGGCGCTATAGGTATGGACGCGAAGTATCAGACCCCGGGGGGGGGGGGCTCCTGTTCGAGCGGGGATCCCTATCCGACAACATACACCCTTAGCCCGCCACGGAATTCCACCCCGGGAAATCTGGGGGTCGCATAGGTATGGGTGCTAGCTGTCAGCTCAAGAACGATGGGGTCAGAGGATCGCGCCCCATCGCCGATGAATCGTCGACGCCGCCGTGGAGGAAATGGGGCTCCGCATCGCCGATGCATCGGAGATGCGGCGCGATCTTCCGACCCTATCTGCCTGGACCCCATCTGGGAGGCCTGGATGCACGCGGGATCGGCGGCACTCCACTCCAACGGTCGGGGCCGGTCAGGACTGGAGGCGGTCAGCGAAATCGACGATACTCTGAAGTAACACGCTGCTGGTGGCCAACGGAATCGGCGATGCTCAAATGCAAACGGCTAGTGAGGACCAAGCGGAACCAGTGGCGACAACCGATGACATGAGCGGTCCGGGTTGCCACAACTTGCGTGGCTGAAGGGGTTCCCCGGCTGGCGAGACAGTGCCCTACGATGCCAAAGTCCCCTGCGGGAGTAAGCACAACGAACGGTCGACGCCTCGAGCGGTCACGACCCCATGTCGAACAAATCAAAACGGAATATTGTGGTCGTTGATGTACGGCTTCCAGGGGCCCCTGGACACGCCCTGGGGTCGTCAGAAGACGACTCGGGATGAAAAGCCATTCCTGGGGACAAATCACGACATCAGATGTCCCAGTACTTCCGCCGCCTTCCGCCGAGCTTCGGCTGACAGGCCCGCCGTCGTTTTACTCCCGCTGGCTTCCGCCGAAGGCGAGTTGAGCCAAAGGCGAACCCCTCTCTGGAACGCGCCAAGGAAAACGGGTGGCCCTCTTTTGTGGGTTGCCGCGGCGCCAGAAGTGCAAACGCCCCCCCCGGGTCCAGGATCCGTTTTCTTAGGGACCCCTCTCCTCCATGGCAATCAACGGGGATGCTGGCGTTCAGCATTGCTGCGCTTGCTGCTGGTGACATTGCTGCTTTACGTTGGGCAGACGTTGGTAACGGTACCGTAACCCGTAGCATCAGTGAAGAGACAGGTGAGCCCAGCATGCAAGCAAGGGACAAACATAACACATGAATGCTATAGCAAGCCCGCGAAGGCATGGAGTATGCGCTTACCTGGTCGCATGGACGAAGCAAGTCGACACTACTCGAACCGGGCATATTGCTGCTGCTCCCGCTGCTGCTTCTGCTTGTGGTCCTCGCGCTCTTGGTCCGTCCGCTTCTCCCTCCCTCCAAAAACAAGCTGACCCGGCAAGCTTCATCCGAATCATGTCGATGGCCTTCCTGACATGTTTCGACGACTCTACCATGTCAACTTCGATGCCCATTTTCCGAGCCACCTCGCAGCGAACAGCCAGCATTCAGGACACAGCGTAGACGAACCAGCCTGTGGATCATCCCGCTTCAATGACACAGCCCGAGACTGGCAGCTTTCGCTAGCAGTCTGCTTGTAAGGAAAAACATGTTCCTGCTCCCTCCTCAGGTAGAGGCCTCCCACATGGGGTCTGGGTAGATGGGGTTGGAAGATCGCGCCGCATCGCCGATGCATCCGCGATGCGTCGGCGATGCATCAGCGACGTCGGCGATACAATCGCGACGCCAGCGTGGAGAAACTCGGGCTCCACATTGAGCCGTATGGCCGATGCACAGGCGATGCGGCGCGATCCTTCGACCCCATCTTCTTCTCGAGGCCGGGGGATTGTGGAGCCCCTCGTCGTTTTGATTCGGTTTTTATCGAGTGGGACGCTCTTTCATCTTTATAAACTTTGATGTTGTTTGCCATTTTTCTGCTCGCCGTGATCCCCTCATAATATGCTTCTCTCGTTGTATCGTTATCTCGTGTTCTCTCTCTCTCTCTCTCTCTTTGTCTCTCTCTCTCTCTGTCTATCTCCTGCACCAGGCGAATGCATGCCGATGCGATACCAATCCATTGCCAACCAATGCCAATGCAATGTGAATGGGGGAATCCCTTCGCTCGGTGGATTTCGATCAGAATCCTTTGTGGACGGTGTCATTACGAATCCTTCTTCGGAGGATTTCAAATGGAATGCCTCTGTGGAGGGTTTCGACAGGGATCCTCCTGTGGAGGGTTTGGTTTCACTAGGAATCCTTTTTTGTGGGGGGTTCAATAGGAGTCCTTCTGCGGAGGGATACATAGGACTCGCCGGCGCAATGCTAACGCAATGCCGAAGCAGTTTCATCGCAACGCCCAACCAATGCCAAGGCGATCCCAATCCAGCGCCAATGCAATGCCAATGGGGGGGGCCTTTGTGGTAGATGTTAAAACGGAACCTACTCCTGGAGGGTTTCAATAGGAACCGCTGTGCGAAAGGAGGCACAAGGACGCGCTAGCGCAATGCCAAAGCAATGCCCAATCCAATGCCAATGGGGGAATCCTTTCGCTCGGTGGATTTCGATCAGAATCCTTTGTGGACGGTGTCATTACGAATCCTTCTTCGGAGGATTTCAAATGGAATGCCTCCGTGGAGGGTTTCGATAGGGATCCTCCTGTGGAGGGTTTCATTAGGAAACCTTCTTGTGGGGGGTTTAGTAGGAGTCCTTCTGCGGAGGGAGCCATAGGACTCGCCAGCGCAATGCCAACACAATGCCGAAGCAGTGCCATCGCAATGCCAAACCAATGCCAAGGTGGTCCAAATCCAATGTCAATGCAATGCCAAGGAGAGGGGACCCTTTGCTACATATTCCAAAAGGAATCTTACTTGTGGAGGGTTTCACTCGGAATCGTTCTGCGAAGGGGGGCATGAGGATTCGCCAGCGCATTGCCAACGCAGTGCCAACGGAATGCCGAACCAACGCCAAGGCGATCCAAACTTACTGCCAATGCAGCGCCAGTGGGGGTGGATTGCTTGCGGTAGCGCTCAATATCAATCCTTCTAAGAACCCTTTCTGTGGATGATGTCATCCATACAGAAATCCTTCGAAGGACCCTTCTTCGGAGGATTTCAATAGGCATCTCTCTGCGGAGGGATTCGCATGGAACCCTTTTTTGTGGAGGATTGCAATGTGAATCCTTATTGTGGGGGGTCCGTAGGCACCATTCTTGTGGACGTCTTCAATCTAAATCCTTCTATGTGGAGCGTTTGGTTTGGACTCGCCAGCGCAATGCCATCGCAATGCCAACGCAATACCAATGCGATGCCAAACCGTTACCAAATCAATGCCCATGCAAAACCGATGGCGTGGTTCCAGTCTTTCAACAGATTCCAACAGAAGTCCTGATGTGGATGATTTGGTTACGGATCCTTCGCAGGATGATGTCGATAGGAATCTCCTTGTGGAGGGTTTCGGCAGGAATCCTCATGTGGAGGGTCAAACCATGAACCCTTCAGACGGGGGCTTTCAAAAGGAACCCTTCGTGCGGAAGGTTTCAATGGGAATCCTTCTATGGTGGGAGCCATTAGAACTCGCCAGCGCAACGCCAAATCAGTGCCAACGCCGTGCCAAACCAATGCCATGGCAACCCCAACCCAATCCCAATGAAATGCCTGGGGGAAATATCTGGTGGTCGGTTTCAACAGACTCTTTCTATGGAGGGCTTCGGATGGGTTCAATGCGAACCTTTCTTGTGGAATGGTTAAATCGAAATCCTTTTCGTGTGGGGCTCGACAAGAATCATTCTGCGAAGGGAGCTATTTGAACACGCCAGCGCAATGCCAAAGCAATGCCAACGCAATGCCAACTTAATGCCAAGGCGGTCCCAACCCAATGTCAATGCAATACCGATGGGGGAAAGCATGTGTGATAGATTTCAGTAGGAATCTTTTTTTTTGTGGAGGGCTTCGCCTGGAACCCTACGGTGCAGGGTTTCAATCTGGATGGACCCTTTTTGTGGAGGATTTCAATCGGAACCCTTTTGGTAGAGGGTGTCAATTCGAGTCCTCTTCGGGAGGGTTCCAGTAGGACTCGCCAGCGCAAGACTTGCGACATGCAAGCGCAATGCGAACGCACTGCCAAGTGCTATGCCAACGCAGTGCCAATGCGATGCCAAACCATGGTCAAACCAATGCCAATGCAATGCCAAACGGGGCATTTCTTTCTTTCGAAGAATCTCAATATCAAAAAGCTACATTCTGGGGGAAGGAGGAGGAGGAGGAGGAGGAGGAGGAGGAGGAGGAGGAGGAGGGAGAGGAATTTCCTCTGCCCCCCCCCACATACACACAAAAAAAACGTCTAGTTTATTTGTTTTTTTTTGGGGGGACACACCAACAACCGAAAAATCTGCATTGATTCTTTTTTAGGAGGAGACAGAGGAGGAGGAGCAGGAGGAGGAGGAGAGGAGGAGGGAGAGGAATTTCCGCTGCCACCCCCCAACAAAAAAAACGCCCAGTTTTTTTTTTGTTGGGGGGGGAGGGGGGCACACCAACAACCGAAAAACCTGCATTGATTCTTTTTAGGAGGAGGAGGAGGAGGAGGAGGAGGAGGAGGAGAGGAGGAGGAGAGGACGAAGGAGGGGGAGAGAAGAGGACGCCACAGAGCACACAGAGCATTGAAAGACACACGCGCGAATCCAGTGCCAAAGCCTCGCGCGCGCGCCTTCAACCCCGAGGGGCTCCACAATCCCCCGTTCTCATCTTCTCCGACCCCATCTGGGAGGCCCACGGTCGGCGACCTTTGGATAGCGTGTCGCACCGGCGGCCCCTGAGACACGTTATGCCTTACGAGTGGGTAGCGTGTCGCTCCGTTCCGCGGGGCGGGAGGCTCGGAAAAGCTCGTGACCTTGACGCTGGGGTCGCACCAAAGCGTGGTGGGCCAGGGCGGCGAGAGACGCTTTCCAAAAGTTCCCGACCGTAGATCCTGCTCGCGATCCTCAGCCTCCCGCCGCTGCAACTGACCCTCCTGCCTCTCTTCTGCTCGTGCCGCGGCTCTTCTGGCACCTGCTCAGCAGGGCATGTACCCGAGCGAAGCGCGCATGCGTCCATGGCCAGCTCACAGTAACCACATACGATAAGAAGTCTTGCGAACTCGATATCGGGGGACACATTCTCTGTGGATATTTGAGGGTTCTGAGATGCCCCAAGGCTTCTGTGGGCCTCTGTGGACATCGGTGGATCAAGAATTTCCGTGAGGCAACCTCTGTCAGGCCGATTTCTTCTTTGATTTGCCCCCTGTTCGTGAACAGGCTAGCAATGCCACATAAACACTACTGAAACTAGCGTGAGCCTGATTTGCCACAAAGACCAGGGCCCCGAATAGAAATACGGGGCGAAGCCGGATACTGAGCTTATCCTAGGAAAGCGCAACCTGTCTACTGAGGGCACCAGCTCCAGAATTGCTCTGCTGCGCATGTAATGACTTGTCATTCCTTCTACCGTTTGCTAACCATTTCGTTCATGTGTGGCGCACTCTGATGCATGAGAGGGGGTGCTCAACTACGGCTGGCTCAGAACCCTTTGCTTTGCAACTGCTCCCTCCATTGGGCTCCGGAATTCGAATAGGCCGCCTCCGACCCCCCCCACCCAAAAGAGAAAAAGAGAGAGAGAGAGAGAGAGTCGAGGAAAGACGTCCGACAGTCTCCCCCCCCACAGCGGCATCCATGCTTCCCGTGCACCTCTGCTGTTGGACCCTCCCTGGGGTGCTCCTCCGTCTCGGGCCTGCCCTTCTCCTTGTCGCCGATGCCTCGGGGCCGCGACCCCTCCGGCAGCGCCGGCACCGGAGCTCTGGCCGCGACCGCCGCCACACCGACAGCCCATCCTGGACCGCCTCAGGGCCGATTGATCGTCCTTGTGGCCAGCGGTGCCCAATCACGACCAAGCACGTTCTGGCGTAGACTCCGACAGTCGGTGTGCGGACCAACAGGGCACAAGCGAGATGTACCTGGCAAAGATGGACAGGCTGCGCAAAACTGGGCCATGGCAGAGCGGGGCAAAACGCAGCAGACCAGAGCAAAGATCAACTCAACTTCACCATGACCCGCATAACATGACTTACCAACTAAAACTCAACTGAGGCTGAAATCAGCCGTGCTGAGCAGGACGAACGCAGTAAACAACAAACGAATCGAAGATTGTTATTGTGGTCCGAGTCGTGTTGCAATAAGGAGGGGAGGCAGTTTGGGCTGATATGTGGCAATGTTGAGCTCCAGGCTAGCTGAGACTAAGCTGAGCGAGCACTGCTTTAGCTTCGCTCGACAAAACAAACGAGCCCACGCTAAAGTGATGCCTGGGCTACGGATTCCTTCGGCTCTGCGTTCGCGGCGCCGGCGGCCGTGCAACGCTGGGTATCAACCATGCACCGTTCCTTCCGCTGCTGGCCGGGCGCAACGCCAAGATCTGCCCAGACTCGCTCGATCGGACCCCATCACCGCTACCTCCAGCCCATCCTGGTGCCCTCTACGAGCCTCCTCCTCCTCCTCGCCTTGCCCTCGCCCTCCCCCCTCCCTTCAATGATCCACAGAACGTGTGCCGGCGTGCTTGTCCACCGAAGTCCCTCAGTACGGCATTGGCGGTGTAGTTGAGGGCCGCCAGAGGCTGCGTGCTATCAGGGAGGCTGGACATGGCACAGACACATTGGGCTAACACACTTCCTGATGGTCATCGACCTTGCCCATCCCCTGGCCCTCCCCTTCCCCGCGAGCCAAGGCCAAGCTGAGGCTGCTGCTCCTGCGGGCGCCCTGCGTCGACATCCTGCGGACCTGATGGCTGACAGAAAAGCCGAATGCAGGGTGGCCCAGACAGGGGAGGGGTACGGACGCTCCCAGAGCTGCCAATTTCAGTCCGCATCGGAACGGAACTACGCTACCGAGGAACCCCACATACTTGTATTATGCCTGGAGTGATGATAGCTGAAGTGAAGCATGTGAGAATGATGTTGGCGGCCGTTGCCCCGCCGATGCCGTTGTGCCCTGGACGACCTTCACGGATAGCGGCCGCGGTGCGAGACCACCCCCTGCGCACCCCCTATGGTGCCGAGGATATGCTATGCCTGCTGTGCCATGGACGACCGTCACGGATAGTGCCCGCGGTGAGATACCACCCCCTGCGCACCCCCTCTGGTGTCGGATATGCCGTGCCTGCTGAGCCATGGACGACCTTCACGCATATTGGCCGCGGTGAGGGACCACCCCCTGCGCACCCCCCATGGTGTAGAGACTATGCCATGCCTGCTGTGCCATGGACGACCGTCACGGATAGCGGCCGCGGTGAGAGACCACCCCCTGCGCATCCCCTGTGGTGCTATGTGTTAGTGTGCTGTGTGCTGTGCTGTGCTGTGCTGTGTGAGAAGGAGTGTGTGTGTGTGTGTGACTCTGGTGTCGAGGATATGCCATGCCTGCTGTGCCATGGACGACCGTCACGGATAGTGGCCGCGGTGAGAGACCACCCCCTGCGCACCCTCATATGGTGTCGGGATAATGTCATGCCTGCTGTGCCATGGACGACCTTCACGGATAGAGGCCGCGGTGGGAGACCACCCCCTGCGCACCCCCTCATGGTGTCGAGAATATGCCGTGCCTGCTGTGCCATGGGCGACCGTCACGGATAGCGGCCGCGGTGAGGGACCACCCCCTGCGCACCCCCTATGGCATCGAGAATGTACCATGCCTGCTGTGCCATGGACGACCGTCACGGACAGTGCCCGCGGTGAGAGACCACCTCCTGCGCACCCCCTTCTGGTGTCGAAGGTATGCCATACCTGCTGTGCCATGGACGACCGTCACGGATAGCGGCCGCGGTGCGAGACCACCCCCTGCGCACCCCCTAAGGTGTCGAGAATAAGCCGTGCCTGCTGAGCCCTGGGCGACCGTCACGGATAGCGGCCGCGGTGAGAGACCACCCCCTGCGCACCCCCTCTGGTGTCGAGAATATGCCATGCCTGCTGTGCCATGGACGACCGTCACGGATAGTGGCCGCGGTGAGAGACCACCCCCTGCGCACCCTCATATGGTGTCGGGATAATGTCATGCCTGCTGTGCCATGGACGACCGTCACGGATAGAGGCCGCGGTGGGAGACCACCCCCTGCGCACCCCCTCATGGTGTCGAGAATATGCCGTGCCTGCTGTGCCATGGACGACCGTCACGGATAGCGGCCGCGGTGAGAGACCACCCCCTGCGCATCCCCTGTGGTGCTGTGTGTTAGTGTGCTGTGTGCTGTGCTGTGCTGTGCTGTGCTGTGCTGAGCTGTGCTGTGCTGTGCTGTGCTGTGTGAGAAGGAGTGTGTGTGTGTGTGTGTGTGTGTGGGTGTGTGTGGGTGTGTGTGTGTGCGGGAGACGCGGGTGCGACGCGGCAGGGATGAAAACCAGAACTGTGCTGTGCTGTGCTGAGCTGTGCTGTGCTGTGCTGCGCTGTGCTGTGCTGTGAGAGAAGGAGAAGGAGGAGGAGGGGTGAGAAGACGCGGGTGCGACGCGGCAAGGAAGACAACCATAACCCCACTAAGCATGTCGGGAAAAACACATCGAATCCGAACGAACATCGGATCGGCCGCGCGAAGATGCACCACAGCGCCATGCCAGCGTCGGGCCGCATCGGATCGCTGGAACATCGAAATCTAATCAGAGCGTCGCCGTCGAAATCGATATCGAACCCGATCGATCGGATCGAAATTGACTCTGGGAGACAAGGGTACGAACGTACTGCATGAGCTGTAGGCTTTGTGCCAAGATTGGGCATGATGGCCGCTGCAACCAGGTAGTATCCAGTAGCTCCGTCGTGTCCTTCTCAGGGTCCTCCTCCCCATCCCTCCTCCACCTCCTCAATCCTATTTTTTCGTCATTCTCCTCCTGCTAGAAACAAATGGCTGCTGTCCCACTGAGAAGATTGAACCTCCCCCAGGCCCTGGTGGGTGGCTCGCGAACGAGCCGCAACAATCCGCGTCGAATCCTTGTCGAACGCTGGATCCGCGTCGAATGCACGTCGAATCCACGTCGAACCCGCTTTGGACACCGAGTCGGATGCGAGAAAAGGCAGCCATGCAGGACAGACAAAGTCCCCCAGAGGTGCAACCGAACATCGAAGGGCAAGCTGCGCCTCCAGCTCTTCAGTTACACTAAGTTTACTACCTTCCTCTCCAATGACTGCATGGGGGAAGTATCCCGCCCCCTCCGCGCATTGCACACACACACACACACACACATAAGCACGATTTCGAACAAGGCGCAATTTCACGCGCTGCGCTGTGCAATCCAAGTGTTTTCGGTGATTCAAAACGGTGGATCGGCGCTGTCCCCCCGACGTTTAGAATGGCGCTCTCGTGCCGGCGCGGGCCCCTTTTCTGGATCCGAGTCCCGTTGCGTCGCTGTCGCCCCTTTCTTTCCCCCTCCTCCGCCTTCCCCTGATCATCCTTCTCCTCCCCCTCCTTCCACTCCAGTTCGTGCTGCTGCTGATGTTGCTCGTCCTCGTCCTCCTCCTTCCTCATCCTCTTCCTCTTCTTCCTGCTCATCCCCCTGCTCACCTCTTCCGACTGCGCATGACAAGATGGTGGCTTGTTTGCTTCCAGGTCGGCTGTGACACGCGCCCGCGGATAAAAACTCAGCGCAAAGGGAAGGGATGGGGAGGGAGGGATAGGACTTCAAGCATGTTACGAGCGAGCCTAGCTTGCCCCATCCCTCTCTCCCTCCGCCTCCGACTCGTCCTCGCTCCCGCCGCCCCTCCCCCCCCCATCTGCGCACGCGGCCGCAGCAGTGCGCTCCTCGGACTCCTGCGGGCCCCATTGCCGCCCACCACCCCCTCGGGGGCAACGCTCGGGGGACGCATCAACCCCCACTTGCCTGTTGAGCGCAGCTGAGGGTCCTGCTGGCCGACCCTGCCGCTCTATCGGCGATGCATCGCCGATTCCAGAACGTCCCCCCGGAGCCAGTCACCCCAACGTCAAGTTCTGTACAGCTGCGAACTAAGATTTGGCAACGGTGCCGCCTCCGAATAACACCCTGAATGCGAAATGCTGGCACAGGTGCTCTGAATTTTTACGGTGGCGCCTTTGGTGACCCTGGGCGCGCTATCGAGATTTGGCAAGGGGCTGGCGTAATGATCGCTGCCAGCGAAAACCTACTTATCGCATTCGTTGCCCTATCGTCGACGGGTTTTCGGGTCATTACTCTGGCCTTCGGCGGCCGATCGGGAGGACACGAACACCCCCACAACTCACTCGGGGAGGTGTAGCTGCCGGGGAGCATCCCGACAAGGCTAGAAGTCCGCCGAGAGCCGACGAAACCTTGCGAAAACCTCCAGCCTGGAACCCTCGTCCTCCCCCTCCCCGCCCCAGCAGGCCGCCCCGCCACGCTCCATCGCTCCCCATCGCTGCCCCATCACCCTCCCCACGCCGTGCCGGGCCCGCCCTGGGCTTTCGGACTCCACCGAGCCTGCTCCATGGCCTCCGCGAAGGCCCCCTCGGCGCTCTCGAGCGGCACCTCCGGGCGGCAGGGCGATGGCCGCCGACGCCGCGCGGAGCGTGGCCCGCCGCTGTGGCCGCACAACGGGAGAGTCCCTGGAGAGCCCGCCACAGGGAGCCCGCGGAGCACCTCGGAGGCAGGACGAGGGCAAGATGGGGCTGCGGAGGAGCGCCGTCACCGTTGCCGCCGCCGATGGCCGCCGCCGATGGCCGTACGGAGGGCCCCACGAAGGCCGCTCGAGGCGCCGCGCTTCGGGGCGGCCGCGCCGGCGGCCAGCCCAGGGCCACTCGGGGGCGGTGGCCAGCGGGCCCGCGCCGGGGTCTGCCCGGGGCCACGGCGGCCGCGGGAGGAGCGGCTGCTGCCGGCCAGTGCTCCGCCGCAGGAGGAGGAGGAGGAGGAGGAGGAGGAGGAGGAGGAGGAGGAGGAGGTGCGGTATGCACGCCTGGGTCGGCGGCTCCTCGGGTCCGAGTCGCGGTCGGGCACTGCGTGGCCGCAGTAAAGCTGCCTTTGGAAACGCGCACGGCGCCAAGATGGCCCAAGCCGAAGCCAGCCAGGACAGCCCCACGGCCCCAGAGCGTTTCCAAGATGGTCTCAAGCACCAATTGGCTCGTGTCGCGACGACCCCGGGCGTTGGTTTCCGACACCGTGTGGCTCGCGTCTGTGAGCAACATGTGCAAGCGGCCGCATCCACAAACATTCATGGAACTTCCCGCACGGCGGTAGAATAGGGAGGTTACAACACGCTACTTCGGCACAGCGGAACTGTAAAACGAGAGGCAAAGGAGGAGACAGCCGCGCGCGGCCAGTAACCCCTCAGACCATGAAGATCTTCAATGTGTGCCTGGGGCAGGCTCGGTGCTCCGGATTGTCCGTCAAGTAGCCGAGTTGTGCGAGGTCAGTGCAGAGCAGGAGCGAGGGCCACGATGCAATAGACGACACATGCGATAAGAGATCTTGCAGAACGACATCTGGGGGCACTCTTGTCGTCGAGGTTTGATAGAGGCCTCCTCGATGGGGTCCGAGTAGATGGGTCGGAGGATCTCGACGCATCGCCGATACATCGGCGATGCATCGGCGATGCATCGGCGATGCACCGGCGATGTATCGTCGACGTGGGCGATGCATGGGCGACGTCGACGTGAAGCAAATCGGGCTCCACATCGAGCCGCATCGCCGATGTATCGTCGATGCGGCGCGATCCTCCAACCCCATCCAGGAGGCCCAGATTTGAGCTTCCCGAGGTGCCCCAGGGCCTGGGCATTTTGGGGGAGAAGGCACTTCCATGGGGCACCTGCTGGCAGGCCGGCTTCTTATTTAACGTACCCACTACAATCCGGGCGAGGATCGATCTCTGAGTGATGGAGCGTCTTGAGGACCTATCGGGCGTTGCGGCCGACCCAGAGCGCCACGGAGCGCTCCAGGACGCTCTGAAGCGGCTTATCCTCGCCAGATGTAGGGAGGGCGTGGCCGGGACTCGTCTTGAGAGGGACGGCAGGAGAAGACCGAGGGGCGAGGCGGCGGCGGAACCGCGAAACGAGCCAGCGGCGCGCAACCGCACGGACTCGCACTTGCACAGGCACTCGCGCGCGCGCACGTGCTCACGTGTGTTCGTCTGGAGGGCCGCGCGAGTTGAAGGCGCCAGAGCACCTGCGCCCCGAATGCGGTCGCAGGGCGGCACGTGGACAGCAAAACAGCGGGCGTCCACGAGCTCAGCGCCCTAGGTCCAGCGCCGCGTTGGCGGGGGAACCGTCGGGGGCAAGGGCGGGGGAGGACTTGGAGAGTGAGGAGAGGCAAGAGACTGGACGGGGGGCTGTCAATTTCCACGGCAACAACCACCAACATGATGCCGCCATCTTTGAGCACTGCATCTCGCCGCAGCCGTGCTGCGCCGCAGCGTGAGACAGAGGAACGGATGGATGGCGTTTGATCTCTCGGCATCGCGTGCTGTCTTAATTGTAAAGGGAGCCGGGAGCGGGGAGGAGTCAACGCACACAGTCATCGTGCTACCATGGGAACCTTGATAAGAAACCACAGGACGTGCCTGGCCACGGCGAGCCTCGGTTCCGAAGAGGTTCCCCGACTTGGACCTAAGGAACGGCCCGAAGATGAGAGCCCCTCCTGAGCCCAAAGTGGTCCTCATAGGGTCTTGGCTGAAGTGCAATCTCGAATGATGCTCGCCCTCTGTGGCCAACATCAGCTAGCAATCTGGCGAGCTAGCTGCCAGCAATGCGATAAATCCTGCTGCCGCGCTGACCCCGAGGAAGAGGACGCGGATAAGGAGGGGCAGCGCAGGACGACACAATCACCGAGAAGGGCGGCGACACACCCTTGCCCTCACTCGACACCTGTCAAAGATGGGGCCCTGATGGGGCCCTGAGACAGCGGGCCTCGGAGCGAGGATGCCCCGAGCAATTCCAACTGAGCCTGAGAGCTCCTTCTTCAGTGGAGAAAATAATGGCATAAACATACGAACTCGAGGATCCGTGCCGATCCGAGAAATCCGCACGGACTTCCTCAATGTTTGCGTATGTCATTGCTTGTTCTCTTTATTATTGGGGCGCTCCGGCCCAGTCTGAGGGGGCAAAGAGATACCGATGCCGCTGCTCTCCAGATCTGTCCCCGGATGAGGTATGACCAGCATTTCGGAGAGAATACATACGGGTACCTTTTCATCCTCTGGCCATCCCTTAGGGCACCATCTTTGAACCCCCGCTCTAGACCCCTGCGATCGCGCCGAGCCGGGAAACAGGGGGGCTAGAGCCGTGCACAAGCCGCGACGAGCAACGACCAGCACTTGCAAATCCCACACGACGGAGAGCAGTGGTCGCACAACCGTGCGGAACGGTGCACGAGGAACGAAAGAGCCTTTCTGGCCACAGCGAGGGTCGGCTCCGAAGAGGTTCCCCGACCTGGACTTAAGGAACGGCCCGAAGACGAGAGCCCCTCCTGAGCCCAAAGTGATCCTCATTTCAGCGTCTTGGCTGTAGCAGACTCATACATGAGAAATCTAGTTTTTCCGCACGCGGTCCCAAGAAGTCCCGACCCTTTCCGCAGGGCCTGTTCTGAGATGTTTCTGACGGCCCGCGGTCTGGTAAAGGCTCCAGAGGCCGAAAACTGGCAGCAGCAATAACAGCAGCAACGACAACAACTACAACTACTACAATAACAATATCAACATCAACATCAACATCAACATCAACATCAACATCAACAACAACAACAACAACAACACCACCAACAACAACAACATCAACAACAACAGCAACAGCAACAGCAACAACAATCGCATCAACAACAACAGCAACAGCAACAGCAACAGCAACAACAACAACAACAACAACAGCAACCGCAGCAGCAACAACACCACCACCAGCAACAACAATAACTCGCATCGTGATTTGTTCGCGACGTTGCATGCCGGGGAGGGAACAGCGGCAGCGGCTGGCGGCGGGCGACAGCGCCGGCCTGCTCGAGCTGGAACAGGAGCTCCTCCTCCTCGTCGGTCTCTTTCATCCTCGGTGCGTCCAAAGGCCAGCCCCGGTGCCGCCCGTCTGGTGCGCCCCGTCTCCCAGAGAAGAAGGGCGGCGCCTGGAGCTCTCGCCGACCCCCCCTGGATCACTGGCGTGAGTGGGTGGGGGCCGCCCCCCCCCGTTTGCGGGCGGCGAACAATACGAAATGAACTTCTTCGCCCTCGGGGACCCCCGTCTCAGGGCGTCTGGGAAGTTCATGATTATCCTCGCAGTAGCAGTTGGGGCTGACACCGGCCGGCCGCCCTGGGACGGGCGGCCTCGATCGCGGAAGAGATGATGTTACACCGTTCTGCGCCCGCTAACTTCCAGAACTCCGAACTCCTCCCGGGGGGGGCGGGGGGGGGGGCGATTCTGCCGGCTCCGAGGGGGTGGGCGGGTGGCGGGCGGAGAGGGGGTCCCGATGAGTGGTGTTGTGCTTTGTGCGTCTGAGATGTTTGGGGCTTCACGGCGTCACCACAATAGCCCACGCGCCTTCCAAGAAGACGACGCAAGCACGCACAGCGAACCTCAGTAGGCCCTCAGAGAGCCCCCTGGAGACCCCAGGAGGCGCATAGGATGCCCCCCAAATTTGCCAGCAAACCCAGCGATAAGCCCCTGATAGACTGAGTCGTTGAACAATCGACTGTCCGATGCGTTCCAATGCGGTTTGCTCCGCATTGGCGATGGTCCCCCCACAACGGCCCCAGATCGCCTCAAGAGGTCTCCAAGACGGCTGTGAGACCCGCCGCGATGCCCCCATGCTTACAAAATCGGGCATCTCTAGGAGAGCTCGAGTAAAACCATTGCGCCCGAGATGCCTTGACGTCGTCGTCCTTATCCTACTCTTCCTCCCGCTCCTTCTCTCGTCCTTGTCGTCGACGTTATCGTGTTCCTGACCTTCTCGGGGGTCGGCGGAATGGCGTAAGCCTCTTGAGCAAACCCTTGCGCCCAAGACGGCGGCCTCCAATTTACCACAACAGCGGCTCCCGCATGATACTTCCCCACAAGTTATTAAAAATCGCGTTCTCGCGCGGGGCTGCCTATGTATACAGGAATCGCGCTCTCGCGTCGTACTGCCTAGCAATTTATTGAAGCTCCGCGCTGGACGTTCCCGTGAATTACTTGGGAATCGCGTATCTCTCGAGTCTTCCTCGCGATTCCTGTTGAACTTACTCTTCAACGACCCGCCCGCCCGACCTGGCCGTCTGAGCCCGCCCGCTCGACCCGCCCGTTAGGATCCGCCCACCCGACCCGCCCGTCTAGTCTTGCCGCTTGTACTCCTGCTTATAACCCCCCTCCTGCAAATCTTTCTAGTGCTCTATCCTTCTCATTCCCCCTTGTTTCTTCCATCATCCTTCCCCTCCTCTGTTTTGGGGCTGCGCCAACTACACGTGGCAGGTAAAGAAGATATACTCCCTAGGGGGGTACGATCGAAGACAAAGCAGGCGGGTATCAAAGGATTGGGTACACATGTTCAATGACACGCGAGCACATGAAAACGAACAATATTACAATGATTGCTGGTGTTGTTGTCGTCGTCCTTGCCTGGGATCCCCCCGCGACACGTCCGCGAGACACCCCGCGACACACACGCGACCCAACCCGCGACCCAACCCGCGACCCCCCCACGACCCATCCTGCGCTCGCCCCTTCACTCTTATCCGCAACTGCGGGGTTCTAGATGTCCTCAGGGGGGGAGAGAGGGGAGGAGAACGGCGGAGGAGGAAGGAAACACGGCTGCCGACATGGAGTGCGTGTGTGAAAGATCCGCGCCAGCTGAAACAGGGCACTGAACCCGATCTCCTCCCTACAGCGCTGCTGTGATGACACGTTGGCGCAGCCTGCCGCGAGCAGCTGGATTCACTAATGCTTCGGGCCCTTAGACAGCACCTGTTTGAATTTACACATGCTGGGGCCCAGCTGAAGCCTGACCTGTGGCCAAAGCTGGGCCGATGACCTGTCGGCGCGGGCAGCTGGATAGCGGCACGAGTAATCAGGGGCCCAAGACAGCAAAAGAAGGTTCCAGGACGGTTCAAGAGAGGGAGGAGCTCCACACCTCCCAAGAGGCCGCTCAGACAGCCCACAAAAAGGCGCCGAGACGGCCCAGGAGAGCCGCCAGAAGGCCCCGGGCAAGACAGCCGCAAGATGGCCCCCACGATGCTCCCCAAAAAACTCTCAGGGCCACAACAGGGTCCAACGATTTCTTATTGCAGACCCTGCCCCTCGCTCTCCCCCCTCTCTTTCACTATCCACCGTCTTCTCCACCTTTTTTTTTCTCGTCCACCTCGTGAAGAACACCATAGTGGTAATTACTGCTCTCCTCTCTTCTCAGATCTTGCTCGAGCGTCCTCCAATCTCTTCCGCATATGGATTCCGCACACACGGTCTCATTTTAGGAGACTCACCTATATTCATTCGATCGGAACGTTCCTTGCCCTTCAAAGCGGTGTTCCTGCAAGGCCGCATTTCAGGCTGGGCGTTTTGCTTCCGTCGCATGGAGTGGCGATCTCGCCCCCAGCGCGGGTCACACTTCTGGGTCCGAGTCCCCCCTTGTCGCTGCCGTCCCCCAACTTTCCCCTCCTCGGCCTTCCCCTGGCCCCCCTGCTCATCCTGCAAGAAGTCAAAGCACTGGGAAGGGATGGGTCGGAGGGGGAGGATGTCATATATGGCGCTGGCGCAAGTAGCGGCCCATCCTTCTCCTCGTCTTCCTTTTCCTCGTCGTTCTCTGCTCGTTTGTTCGGCTGCTTCTTTATATCTCCCATTGACATCGCCTGCAAGGACAAGCCAAGGTCTCAAACCACTATGGCAGCCGCGTATGCGGCCTAAAACGCATGAATATGCTGGAATGTGTTGGCCATCGTGTGCGGCTCACTATTTCATTTTGTAGACATTGCAGGTCGATGTTCCAATTGCCAAATCGTCTGCCAGCCGTCTTCGACTCAATGAGTCGCAATCAACCGCCGCTCGTGCCACTACACATCCGACTGGTATTGTACACAGTCAACTACCAGCCCACTTGCATCCAACCATCCAGGGCCCAAGCTGTTTCACTATCGAGAGTCGTTTCGCCTTTGCCCTGGTCTCCAAGATGCGACGACAACGCCACGCTCGGTCAGCTCGCGATCCTTGGCATAATGCCAATGCTGGCGATGCTCAAATGAGGAGCGGCAGCCCTGGCTTAAGAGCTGCATGGAACTAGGGTCGAAGGTTCTATTGGGATCTTTTGAATTTGAAAACTATGCGAGGAACATTTCAAAGCGCATGCTAGGCCGTGGGCTAGGTCCTGCGATCGCGCCGTGCTGGCAGACCGGGGACTCGAGGCCTGCATACATCGCGACGAGCAAAGACCAGCATCGGCCGGTCCCACACCACGGAGAGCAGTGCCAACTATACACCCGTCGCGCTACCGTAAGTTACGTTGCATCTTCGCCCGAGCCTGTAAATTGCACTATTGTTTTGTACTCCGACGTGGGTTCGACGCGGATCCGGCGTGCATTCGCCCCGGATTCGACACGGACTCGACGCGCTTGACCCGATTCGACACGGACTCGACGCGCATCGCGGCGCGACGGGACAGACGAGGCCCCCCGAAGATGTAACACAGCACAAAGTCCGCTGGGTAAAGAACGACCGGGCCATTCTGGCCACCGCGATCCTCGGCCACGGAGAGGCTCCTCCTGCGAGGCCTAATGCCCGTCGCGCCGTGCACCCCGGCCAGAACAGGCCCGCCTCGCGCCGTGCATCCCGGCCTGTGAAGTCCAGTTTCCGTCGCGCCCTGCGCGCGCGCCCGCAGGCCCGCACTGGGCCGCCGAAGCATCTGCATGGGAGCACTCCAGTCCGGGGTAACCCTGGCTTGGGTCCCCGACGCCGAACCAAAAATTACCCCTGACCGATGAGTCGGGCGTGGTTGGACGCCCCAATTATCCGGGATAGCTCTGGTCCGGGGCAACCCCAGTTTGGGTCTCCGTAGGCTCCCCCGAGGAACGAACCAGGAGCTACCCCTGACCACCCCCAGCCCTGGATGATTCGGGGCCTCTGGCCCTCCCCCCCCTCTCCCTCCCCCGAGACACACGGTAGCGAAACGAACACAGCATCGTGAAACATGACGCCCAGAGCCCGGGACCCGATCTTCCTGCGCCAGTTTGTGAGCTGGGTCTATCTGTGAGGGTCCCCGGGCCCGAACTGTGGCGAAAGCGCCCCGCTCGAAAGAAGGGAGGCACCGAGATCTCGGGGCCCCCTCTCCCGGAGCCGCGGGGAGCCCAGTTCGCATGGTTCAGAAAAAGATGGCTCAAACAGAAACAAAACAAAAACGGTTCAACAAAGAGAGGGTGTAGCCTGGCCTCGGCTCGGGCGCGCGTCGCTCCTTCCCTTCGCGCGCTGTGCGCCCTCCCTCTCTCTCTCTCCCCCCCCCTATCACCACAGAGATACGCATGCAGCTTGCAGGGGGGATGCCGTCAAATACGGTTCTGAGCTGTTCGAGGCGACAGGTTCTTCTGCGGCAGCGCCTTACTATCCTTTGGGGCACGAGAACTGGCATGCCTGCCTTTGACGCAACAACGCTTTCGGTCAGCCCCAGCTGCGGCGACGCCAGGGGCGGGACGATGACGACGACGACGATGACGACGATTGGGTGCCGCAGCCTACAGTTTATATGCACATGCCCATGGGCTGCCGCAGCCTACGGCTCGACCTGATCTGCCCAGTCTCGGCTCGGGCGCGGGCGGAGCTCCGACTCCAGGCTGGGGCGGGCGGCACCGCCGCGCAGCACCCCGCCGGGCGCCGGCCGCGCAAACAGGGGCCCCGCCCCGCCCCGCCCCTTCTGGACAGCTATAGGTGCCGACATCCGAGTAGCGTCGATCTGAGTCGACTTCGCCTCGATTGGCGTGGGCCAGCGTCGATGCGCCAGAGACGACAAGGTGGGATTGCCAGAGGAGGTGGAGCGGTGCTCAGTGGCTGGCCGGGGGCCCCTCGCCCGGTGGCGACATCCGGACTCTACCTCCGCCAACCATGGACCCTCCTGAATCGCTGGGGGGCGGGGATCGGGTTCGGATGTCGCCACGTGCTCGACGAATTCCGAGCACTGCCCCCGCCGCCCACCGAGTGGCCCGAGTCGTTGATCGGCGAGGGTAGGGTTCGGATCTCGCCGCCGAGTTCAGCGGCTTGTGAAGATCATGGCCCAGGCTTCTTGGACGAAGCTCCAGGGTTTCAGGCGTTTCCGCCAGTCCCCGCAGGCTCTCCAGCTTCGGGATTGAAGGGGCCCTGGGACACACAACTAAATACACAAATAAAAAGATTCCCCATATTTTCTCATATTTTCTGGGTTTTCGTCTTCCCCCCCACTGCCCATAGTTTCCTATATTTTTTCCTGGGGATGGACGATTCATTGTGTCTGTGTGTCTTTCCCCCTCCCGAGGGATGCTGTCCAGCGGCTGCGCGCCTCGTGCCGAGAGCCGGAGGTAATTACTCGCCTCGTCCCGCAGGGCGGCCGCATAGCCCCGAGGTATGGCCAGAACGCGCCCAACCTCGAGCGCCCTCGCATCAATCATGACTACCTACCAGACCACCCCAACCCAACCCGAAGACCCGAATTTCGGGTTGGGGGGGTGAGGGTTCCACACGTGTTTTTTCGACGTTTCCCGACCCCCCCCCCCCACTGGAAATCGAGGGTAAATCTGAGCCTTCGGGTTGGGTTGGGGTGGTTTGGTGGGCGGTGACCAACGCCCTCACATCAATCAGGGCGGAGGGTTTCTCGCAGCGTTCGGCCTCGGAGGGCCCTCGCCGAGCTCCGGGGCCGAAGGAATGGAAGAGCCGGCCCTGGGGAAGGGGCCTGGACTTCTGGGGGCCTGCGCCGGGAAAGGCAAGACATCGGAGGCGAGGGCTAGTTTGCCCCCCGTGGGGCGCCGCGCCTCTTGTCCAGCTCCGCCTTCAGCGCCTGGTGCTTGTACCGCAGCGCGAGGAGGTTCTCCCTCACCGCCTTGTCCGGCAAGCTTTCCGCCGGCCCCCCCGCGCTCGGGGAGGGAGCTCTCCAGGCCCGCGCCACGGGCCCTGGCTGCGCCTCTCCTGCTCCCCACCCCCTTCGCTCCTGTGGTACACCGTGGTGCCGCTCCGGCGCGCAGGTTCTGAGCTCCACAGGGCACGGCAGACGCTCCCGCCCACCGGCAGGGCGCTGGCACACTGCCTGGCAACAGATTTCGATATCGCCGTGCACATACAGATGGAGAGCGGGTGCTCGCCCTCGACGTGGATCTGGGCCTCGGGTAGTGTGTGCGTATGTGTGTGTGTAGAGTCGGCGTCGCTCCTGGCGATGGGGCCCGGCGGAGAGGAAGCAGCCCGGTGGCATTCTCTACGAATTGCATGACGTCCTCGGCGATGTCTCCCGTCCTCGCAAACTGGGTGAACCTCGCGGCCGCTCTGTAACGACCGGCGCTTCCCAAGGGTGCTATCTTGGCCAATCAGGAGGAGGCAACTTCTGAGGTCTTCGCACGAACGGAAAATGATTCCCCATATGTGCATCTATTTGCATGGAACTGTCCGCCGTGAGCGTCTAGGCACGAAAGCTTTCGAATCTAAGTGGGCTTGAGTATTGGCAGTCTGGGAGTGAAACTACCTGTGAATGAGTGAGAGTGTGAATGAGCCTCAATGATATTAGTGCGTCTCTGCGCATGAGCCTGGGACCTCCTTGGGCCTTCTGAAACCTTCTGGGACTTCCTGGGGCTTCTTGGAGCCTCTTGGGGCTTCCTGGTGCTTGCTGGGGTTTCCTGTGGCCTCCTGGGGCCTCCTGGGGAGGATTCGTGCCTCAGGGGAAGCCCAATCTATAGGAACATGTGTAAAACACATAGGATTGGAGCCACAGGAGAAGGGCAATTTGTAGGAACACACGTAAAGCACCAAGGATACGTGCCCCAGGGCAGGCCCAATCTATTGGAACATTACTCAAACACGTTGGATGGGATACACAAGAGAAGGACACACGGTAGAAATATACGTAAAACACAGAAGGGTTCTTGCTCCCGGGGAGACCCAATCTATAGGAACATATATCAAACACCAGCAAGGAGCTACTCCTGTGGCCTTGTGAGGCCTTCTGTTCCTGATGCCTCTTCGGGCCTCCTGGTGCCTTCCGGGGCCTCCTGGAGCCTCCTGGCGCTTCCTGTGGCCTCCTGTGGCTTCCTGTGCCCTCCTGGGGCCTCCTGGGGCCTCCTGGGGCCTCCTGGAACCTCTTGGGGCCTCCTGGGGCTTCCTGTGGCCTCCTGGGGCCTCCTCGGTATTCCTGTGGCCTCCTGGAGCATCCTGGATCCTCTTGCTATCTCCTGGGGCTTTCTGGGGCCTCCTGTGGCCTGTTGAACCTTCCTGTGGCCTCCTGATGCCTCCTGCGGCCTCCTGTGGCCTCCTGGAGCCTGTTGGAACCTTCTGTGGCATCCTGGGGGGATCCGTGCTCACGAGACTGGCTAGCAAACAAATAAGCAAACCGATCGAGACATCCTCAAGATCTGGCCCCCCTGGGGTGCGAAAATCAGCGCCTCGCTCGAGACATCCTCAAAATCTGTTCCGAAAGCGGAGGATGTTGGGCACCGAAACAAGCAAACCGCTCGAGGCATCCCCGCCATGCTGGCGCGAACGGAGCTCCACAGGGAGCTCCACCGAAGGCCTCAGCGGCAGGGTTCGCATGCGTCCCCCCGCCCATTTCGGCACACCCCTCACATGGTTCGTGGCCCCGCAGGGAGCTCCACCGAAGGCTCCAGCGGCAGGATTTGCATGCGCCCCCCCGACCACACACCCCTCACGAGGATCGTGGCCCCACAGGGAGCTCCACCGAAGGCCCCAGTGGCAGGGTTCGCATGCGTCCCCCCGCCCATTTCGGCACACCCCTCACATGGTTCGTGGCCCCGCAGGGAGCTCCACCGAAGGCCTCGGCGGCAGGGTTTGCATGCGTCCCCCCGCCCAGCTCGGCACACCCCTCACGAGGATCGCGGCCCCATAGGGGGCTCCACCGAAAGCCCCAGCGGCAGGGTTTGCATGCGTCCCCCCGCCTAGTTCGGCACACCCCACACGAGAATCACAACGCAATGCTCGCAGCTGCATATTGTTGGGTCCTTCGCCGGGCTATTTTTAACTGCAAACTCCAGTGCTCGCCGCGGCCTCCCTCGCGGTACTTCTCTCTGAGCCCGCAAAACAAAAAAATAACAGCGTTTCCTTGCAGCCCAAGCCAAAACAACCAAACAACAAACCATACGCAGTAGTTGGCGTCCTTGGAGTAAGGAAGCTTTGCTTGGTTTGCGAAGCCACGAAGCATTTGTTGTTTAGCAAGCCCCAGTGTTCGCTGGGCCTCCCTCGCAGCACTTCTCTCTGAGCCTGCACCCCCCAATAGACAGAACCAACAAACACCGCAGTGTTTCCTTGCATCCCAAACCAAAACAACCAAACAAACCAAACATACACAGCGCTTTCTTGAACCGAAGGTGAGGACGCCTGGCCATTAAGGATTTGTTGCGCTCGGAATCAGTACGAAGGACTCATCAGTAAACACTCCCTAGTATGGGTTCCTTAATGCAGATTACTTAATAATGATTCCTTACTAACGACTCCTTACTAAGGGCTCCTTAGTTGAGTTTTCTCAGTAAGGATGCCGTGGCGACTCCATACTACAGGTTCCTTACATGTTGCCAAGGATTCCTCAGTCAAAATTATTTAATAACTGTTCCTTACGAGGGATTCCTTCTCTAGGGCTCCTTGATGAAGATTCTGTTTAAAAGATTCCGCATGGAGGGTTACGGAAGAAAGTGTTTTGATTAAGGAGCTCGGGTTCAGGATGCCCCAAACGAGATTCCTTACTAAAAATTGCCTCGTTGGTCACTCCGTATAAAAAATGTTCCTTTCCACAGTCGGACAAATAATTGCAAACGAAATTCTCTACTTTTCGCATGGAAGCATTTGAGTACACATTATATCAACGGCAAGCCACATTGACACCCGGCGCTGCACGCACGTCGAGCCGATGTGGGCCAAAAGGTCGACTCAGATTCTGCACCGCTTGGGTCGCGCCTGGGCGGCGGCCCCATCCGCTCGGCGGCGGCCCCGTCCGCGCTCCAACCGCCTTGAGACTGTCCGACTCCAAAATTTAATTTCATAAAGAATGAATGTCTGATGATTCTCAAAATCTGCGCGACATGGATTAATTTCGCACGCCGGACGCGCCCGATGGCAGTCTCAAAACGGCCCCCAAGGGTCTCAACGTGCCAGAAACCCTCGGCGCCGAGCACATCCGCGAGTCTCACATTGTCTCAAAGTGCCACGAAGACCTCGGCGCCGAACGCAGTCGCGCGTCTCGAACGGTTCCAAATCGCCCCGAAACCCTCGGCGCCGAGCACATCCGCGAGCCTCGCATGGTTTCGAATTGCCACAAAACCCTCAGCGCCGAAGGCAGTCGCGCGTCTTCAAAGCTTTTGAATCGCCCCGTCCCTTGGCGCCGAGCCCATCCGCAAGACTCACATGGCCTCGCAGTGCCGCGAAGCCCCCGGCGCCGAACGCATTCGCGCGTTTCAATGAGTCTCACAATGGCCCGAAACCCTCGGCGCCGAGCACATCCGCGCGACTCACATGGCCTCGCAGTGCCGCGAAACCCTCAGCGCCGAACGCAGTCGCGCAATTCAAAGGGTCTCACAACGCCCCGAAACCCTCGGCGCCGAGCACATCCGCAAGACTCACGTGGCCTCACAGTGCCACGAAACCTTCGGAGCCGAACGCATTCCCGCGTTTCAAAGAGTCCCACACTGCCAGGACACACATTCGGCGCAGAATGCGTCCGCGCGGCTCGAAGGGCCCCACAAAGCCACAAACCCCCTGGCGCCGAGGACATCCGCGCGACTCACATGGCCTCACAATGCCACGGAACCCTCGGCGCCGAGCACATCCGCAAGACTCACATGGCCTCACAATGCCACGAAGCCCTCGGAGCCGAACGCATTCCCGCGTTTCAAAGGGTCTCACAATACCAGGACACACTCGGCGACGAACGCGTCCGCGCTACTCGAAGGGCCCCACAAAGCCACGCAACCCTTAGCGCCGAGGACATTCGCGCGACTCACATGGCCTCACAGCGCCACGTAACCCTTCGGCGACGAACGCATTCGAGCGTTTCAAAGGGGTTTCAAAGTGCCGCGGCTAGCGCGCATCATGTCACGACGGCGCTATTTTGTCGGGCGAGGCAGAATGCAGTAAATCCCTCTCATGCCTGCATTGTCCTCTGCGCATTGTCTAATTCCCGCGCCCCCCGCGGCGGCGAGCTTTGCGCCGCGCCGGGGGGGGCTGCACCTCGCGAGCTTCTGCAGACGCGCATGCATTGTCTTGCGTGCATGGACTACTTCCCGCACCTCCCGTAGCGGCGGGCTTTGCGCCGCGCCAGGCGAGCTGGCATCCCCCTCGCGAGCTTCTCAAGGCGACTCCACTTCTGGCCGGGCGCCTTCGCCTCGTAGCTTTTCAAGATCTGCGCGGCCTTTTTGGGCCTGTACAGACTCGTTCCATTGATGCCACTCATGGTCCGAACCCTCCCTCGGGAATTAGGGGTCACTCCGTCAACCAGCAAGAACAAGTTCTGCTGAACATCTCGGGAGAACATGGTAACCGCGCTTGGGAAGGCATATTGCCATGGATGTGGTTGGAAAAGCCTGCGGCTGGCCATGCGGCTTTCCTGCCCAGACTCGTATCGCCAAAAAAGAAGACCATAACATTCGAAAGCTTCCAGTGGGTCGACGGAGTGGCGTGAGCCTCTTGCATATCGAAACATGCAATGGCCACCGAAAGGGGAGAGCGCCATTCCGACGTGAACGCGCAAGAATGCGAGGAAGCCCGCACGAGACACGCCACCAACCAATCACGCGGGAGCTGGAGCGCCGAGTGCATACTCCACCGCGTGTGCGTGTGTGCGCGCGTGCGTAGTGGTTGGTGGTGCGCGTGCGTGCGTGCGCGGTGGTATGTACGCGCGCGTAAATTAGGCGACGCGCTGCAATGCGACCACGTTCGACGCAACGCAAGGCCATGCACAGCAATGGAGCACAAACGCCCGCACGCCTTTGACTAAATGTGGACATCGCGCTTTCGCGCAAGGCATACCATACAACTGCAACCTCAATGGCGACGCCGCGAAGAACGTGGCCCCCACGCGAGCGCGAACCCCATGTCCAAACATGTCTTCTCGCGGACTGTATTCCTTATGCAGGATTCCTTCGGTATGATTTCGTATGAAAGAATCCGCATTAAACATGTTCCCTGTTAGTGATTCCTGAATGCAGACTCCTTATAAAGATGGTTCCTTGCTAAATACCCCTTGCTACGGATTCCTGGACGCGTCTTCCTGGATAAGGACTTCTTTCTCAAGAATCCATATTCAGGATTCCTAGTAATGGCTTCTCGAATGAAGATTCCGTCTTAAGGATTCCTTGGTTCAGATTCTTTCTGCGGGGTTCCTTGGTAAGGATCACTTATGAAGGATTTCATATTAAGGATTTCTTATTCAGAGTACCGTGGTACAGACAATGTTGTAAGGACCCCGTTGGTAAATACTCATGAGTAGTAGCTCCGTAATTCGGATTCCTTGATTCGGATACCTCGACGACTCCTTATGACAAATTCCTTACACAGGATCCATTGTTTGAGGGTTCCATATTCAAGATTCCTTTTCAAGGGTTCCTTAGTTTAGTATTCTTTGTTGAGGGATCCTTACCTAAGATTCCTTATTGCGGATTTCGCGATCCAGGGCTCTTATTAAGGATCTCCTGGTGAACATTCTTCATTAAGGATCTTTTCGGACATATTCCTTCGGAAGGATTCCTTGGTAAATATTCCTTGCCAAGGGTTCTTTACTTCAGATACCTCAGGCAGGACTCCTTTTGTAAAGGTTCCTTATTACTAAGGGTCCCTTATTCATAATCCCTTACTACGTATTCATCATTAAGGATTCCTCCTCAGGACCATCATCATCATCATCATCATCATCAGCATCATCATCATCATCATCATCATCATCATCATCATCATCATCGTCATCACCAGCATCGTCATCAGCATGGCCATCATCGTCGGGATCGCACTCGTCTTATCTAGCTCCGCTTCTTCCTCACGTTTGTCATATAGATATTCCTGCTCCTCCTCCCCCTGCTCCTCATCATCATCCCCCTCCTGAGGGTAGAGAGGGACTGGGATCCAGCACGAGAGAACCATAAGAAGCCTTGCGCTGCCCCGCCGCCCCCAGCCCGAGGTTACATTGCCCCGCTGAAGGAGGATTAGAGGACGAGGAGGAGCGAAGGAGAGCGGGGAGGGGGAGGACGGAATAATAGAAACGTGGAAAGCATCGAAGCCAAGGCAAATTGTATGATCACGGGGGGGGCCAGCGAAAATTTAGCCTCTTGGGGCTCTCGTCGGGGTCCTCTTGGAACCTTCTTGGGCCGCCTTGGGGGCCCCTTGGTCCCTTTCGAAGACTTCTTGAGGCCGTCTTCGGGGTGGCTCGGGGCCGTCGTCGGCCGCCAGGACGGCTGTCTGATTTGCGGCCCCCAACAGCAGGCCCGGCCCCGCAGCGCCCCGAAAAGGGCCGCCCCCCCTGGGACTGAAAAGGGGACCCGGGGGGGGGGAGTTTTGAAGAAGTGTGCCGCCCCCGGGGCCGTGGGGCCCAGTCCTCCGTGGTCTAATATCAGAAGCAGAGCCGCATAGGCAGCATAGGCGAGTAAGAGTAGGAGCATCGAGCAATGCGAGTTGAACTGGCTGATGCAATAACAATGTACACGATATATCTGTAGATGCAAATGTATGGTAAAAGAGAGGCGGACTGCGCATCTATTATGTATGTTCGTATATATATATATATGAAGAGAGAGGGAGATAGAGAGAGGGAGAGAGAGCATAACGACAAAATCATAAATCAAGCAGCGTAAAGAAAGGGAGAGAGAGAGAGAGAGGGAGAAAGAGAGAGAGAGAGCAGGAGAGAACATTCAGGTCACTGGCCTCTTTCAGCCCCCAGGTCGGCCCAGAACGTTGATTCACACTGTCGCTTGTCGCTCCATGCAAGCAAGTCGAAGCTCAACTGCGTCGATCATTGACTGCACACATTCCCACAGCGGCGGCACGGCAGCTTCGAATCCGCCAAGGAGCCGATTCACCTTTTCGCGGGGAGCTGACATCAAGAAAGCAAGTACCAGGAGGGGGGATGACGCGTTGCTACCAAGCCGCTGAGGACCATGCAAGAGCCATACGAACATGTTCGTTTGCCGCTTCCTCCTCGTACCTTTCGCGGCTGTAACTACCTCACGACACGATCAATTCGAGCCCAACCCTACTTGCACCCTCCAATCGAAGTCAAGCGCAAGGGCGGGCAAGTGAGTGAAACGTGATGGGGGCCAATGTCAACGGGTAACATCGGGTGGCGCGCCCATCGGAAGAACGTCTGGCGCGCGAAAATTGGGTATCCGGCTTATCGGTCGAACTTCAAGGTAGCGCGCACAAGCCGCGCGCTGGCCAAGGGGGTAGATAATTGGGAAAGATATCGCATGATACGACCTAGCTTGCCGTGGAAACGGGTCCTGGACCCCAGGACTTTCCCTGGCACCGGCTTTATCCTGAATATCTTTTATTGAGCGGGGCCCCAGGAGGCTGAAAACGGCGAAACAATTCAGGACGCCTTTTGCCTGTACCTACTTCCTGCCCCCCACACACGAATCCAAGCGGGAACTGGGAGCCGAACGGAAGCCCCGAGGCCAAGATTGAATCGAATCAATCGCTGTGGGAGCCGGGTGCCCCAGGAGCTCCGAAGGCAGCTGCTAGAGAGACTTTTCGGGCCCAGGGGGCTAAAGAATTCCATGCCCCACTGCCCCCTCTGGGGTCCTCTGAACTCTGTTCCCAGCGTTGTCGATATCGATGAATTATGGCATCCGACCTCGGGCGCCCACCTGCACATCTACAGTCATCGTGCTATTTCCCACCAGGAACGCTAAAAAAGAAGAAGGGCTTCTCAGGCCACGATTAGGATCCACAACCTAGATCCAGGGAACGCCTTGACTGTACGGCGGATTTACGCCGCGATGACGTCGGCGATGGTTTCTAACACCGCGCGGGTCGGTCGCCCTGGTGTGGTCGTGACTTTCCGATAGGGCAGCCCCTTCGGCATCGTCAAGATCTGGGCCACCAACGCCGTTCGGCCTCGAGCGCCCGCGCTGGCCGGGCAACAAGAAACGCCACAAGCTTTGGACGCCCGAATTGGGCACGGAAAGAATGGGTACAATGCCCAACAACAAGTGTTGTCCCAAACCAACAGCGGCCGCTGTTGGGCAAGCGGCCTTCTGTCTCAAATGGACACAGGCCGTGGCGGCGCGGACAGCGAGTCCAGTTCAAAATGAACAGGAACTGCTGTTGGGCATCGTACCCATTCTTTCCGTACCCATTTCGGGCGTCCAAACAAGCATAGCGCGCCAGAGGCCCGGGAACCGGACCTCCTGGGGGCGGCGCTGGGCCCCTCTGCCGGCGCACGGAGCGCTCCAGGGGCGGCGCTGGAGGCGCTGCCGACGGGGTCCCGGCGCCGACCCAGGCCCCGGTCCGGTCAGCCCAGCCTCCGTCTCCGTGCCCTCCCACTGCGCCAGGCGTTCTCTAAGGGGTCTCGTGAAGCAGCAACGCCGCAAGGAACGATCAAGAGAGGAGCGGCATCCAGAGGTGGTGCTCCAGCGAAGAGATGGCCCACCTCCCGAAGACTTGAAATCACGCGCAAAAGGACGCCGTTGATATGCAACCCACCAAAGGGAATTGCGTGTCAGGCTCACCTCCTCCTGCTCGATGCGGTCGGTTATGATGCCCTGGAGATCGCTCTGCATCTGGACAACCTGCTCTTCTTCGAACGTCACTGTTTGAACGAGCTCTTGGAGCTCAATGATTCCCTTGTTCATGACCTGGCTTGGCTCACGGTAACCCGAGAAAGCGAACATGTGGCTCCTAACACCTCCTGCCTAAATAACTCATCTAAGCCACTTGAAGCGAAAAGTTCTTCTGCCCTAGATCATCAACTATGGTGCGGAAACACTGTTATGGCTGCTGCTGCTGCTGCTGCTGCTGCTGCTGCTCCCTTCCTTCTCTCTCCGCCACGCTCCGCCCTTCTCCGCCCGCTCCTCCTCGAATCCTTGCTCCGGGTGTTGCAGCTATTATTCCGCCTATGAACCGTGTCTGCAGACTTGTTGTATAGAACGTCTTGTATAAATGAGCCTTTGGGACATTTCGCTGCGTCGTGCAACCCGTTTTTGTTTTTGCGTATTGGCGTGGAACGCCACCAACATAATGTTTGCAAGGTGACGGCATGTTTGCTGTGGTGGAGCATGCCCAAATACATGCCGCCTAGGCATTCTCAAAAGATCCCCCTCGCAGCATAGATTGGGAACATTTCTCAGCAGAAAGAAAGCATCGACGAGCTCGTCTCGACCGTTGGGAGCTTGACATCAAGAGTAGCGTATGTTAGACAAAAACAATGAGAGGATTCCAACACTCGTAAACACATGACAGAGATGGAAAGCCTGGACTTCATATTACATGTTTAGGTGGATGTTCCCACGCTCGAAGCAATATACGATTGCACTATGACAGGCACATAGTCTTGAACAATCTGTGGTGCTGACCAATGCAAAACTGAGGATTTCGCAAGTTTATGTGAGGAGCAGAAATAAGTTTTCAATACGTTAACGGAAATGACAATCACATGGAGTTGACAGACAGCGTTTGGCCAGAGCATCACACAATATTTCGCGGACGTGGTTGGGCATCTGCAAAAATAGACGGTAGCACGCGTGGCATTACAATTGCGTAAACATACTGACCGGCTCCTTGGTGCAGCCTGGCGCGCATGGAAGAATGCGACAGGACCCTTAATCAGGTTATGCTGCAAAGGGCAATTGCGAATTGGCACCCGTGCTCAGGCAACATGTGGCTCTCAAGCACGCCCCCGCGGAGTTGGTGGACAATCCGTGTATACATCTTCAGCCACTTGCGTAATCAACAACACGGAATATAAACGCATACTTTGATGTAGAAAAGAGAATGAGCCCTATATTCAAACAGTAACGGGCACACGCGCGCTGGTTCGTTAAACGCTTAGTAAACCCAAACGAACTTCAAATTCGTCGTCGATGCATGAATGAAGCAGCAACGACATCATCATTCGTTTCCTGGTAAGCCTCCCGAACAGCGCATTCCTCCAATCGAATAGTGTACTTCGCATTACCTCGCTCCTTCGGACTTTCAGCAATGTTTCCTGGCTTTTGCTGTTCGTCGTCGTCGTCGTCACCCTCCCTCCTCCTCCGCAAGCTTCCACGCTCATGGATCCCGCAAGGGTGCTTGCTGCGCACCATGGGCTCCAGCCCAACCGCCATGTTCTCGTAGGGCCGTCGTTCTGGACGTACGTCGGCGCCTCCTCCTCCTCCTCCTCCTCCTCCTCCTCCTTTTCCACCACCTCCTCGCATCAAAGAGCTGGTAATCCTGTGGCCGCTGCTGCTACTCCTGGCCCGTTGTCATCGTCGCCACTCCTCGTTCCGTAATCTGATTCATTGTCCGTCTGGCCATGCTTTTCCACCCTCCCCGTGCTCCCAATTGAACGATTCTTCTCGGTGCTCGCCACATCCTGCGCGTCGTTGTCCTGGCCCTTGCCGCGCCCTCCTCTGACGATGGTCCACCCCGCAACAAGGCCAAACATATCCCCCCCCCCCGTCCGACCCGAGGCCGGGCCAGCAGCGCGACGCCACAAAATGTTTGGTGGGCGGCGAGCTGGATCCAATAAGCGGTCTGCTATCGGCGGAGCGCGACGGGGGAGGAGGAGGGAGGGGGGGAGGGAGGGAGGGAGGGAGGAGGGGGGAGGAGGGAGGAGGAGGGAGGAAGAGGGATGGAAGGAGGGAGGGAGGGAGGAGAAGGAGGAGGGAAAGTGGAGTGGATCGAACCAGAAAGGGACAATGAGGCGACCGCCTCCCTCAGCCTCCCCCGCGAGTCAGAGGGGGCGAATCGGCCCATTCAGCGAGGAGGCCGCACGCGAACAGGTCGTAGAGCACGGCGACGAAACACAAAATGCTGTGGCGCCCCGCGCGCCACCAGCCGCCCCTAGGCGCTCTCCCGAAGGGTGGGGGAGGTGGGGTACTGCCCCTCCGCAGAGGCGTACTCACCCTGCTCCCCTAGGAGCTCTCAGCAACATGCTGGCTGCAGCGGGCTCCGCGAAGACGAACTCCACGATGGGCCACCTGCCCAGTCGCGCGCCCGCGGGCCAGCGGCCTCGACATAGCTGAGCCACGACGGCCACCATCCCTCCTCCTCCTCATGGCGGCTGCGGCTCCCCGAACCTGACTCTCACGAGCTCGAGGTCCTCGGAGGGGAGCCTGCGGAAGCCATCTCCGCCTCGATGGCCGCCAACTCGGCGAGGGCGGCGGCGAGGTTCCTCCTGGCCTCGGCGGTCCGCTCCGAGGCCGCACCCTTGCGCCTGTGGACCGCCAGCGCCACCGCCGGCGCGGCAGCCTCGGGCCCCAAGGGCGGCTTGGACGCGGCGCTGGACATCGGGGCAGCCCTCGGCACGCGCCCGGGCGGGCGGGGGGCCGCGGCGTCGGGTTTGGCGTCGAGCGCGAAGGCGCTACCAGCGTCACCTCGGCCATCAACGCCCGCATCATCATCGCCGCCGCCGCGCGGGTGTGCAGCAGCCAAGGCGCCGAGTTCCTCGATCGCGGCGTCGAGGGCGGCAAAGTCCGCGCCCGCCTCCGCGGGGCAAGGAGGCGCCAGCGTGGCCTCGAGGTAGACCACCCGCGACCTCCAGTTTGCGAGCGCGGCGCCGACGTCGTCCACGGGGTCCTGGAGGCCTCCTGGCCGAGGCTGCACACTACCTCCACCTCCTTCATCTCCAGGTTCTCCAGCGGCACCTGCTGGGGGGTGGGCGCCCTGTAGCGCCAGGCGAAGCGCCTGGGCCAGGTCCCTGAGGCGCTGGCCGCGGTGGGCGTCGATGGCGGCGTACGCCGCCAGCAGGTGCTCCGCCGCCCGCCCGTCCGCACGGCGGTGCTGGGCGCGGCGCTCGGCGGCGGAGCGGTTGGGCCGCCGCGGCCGAGGCGCCGGTGTCGCCATCCCGCGGCGCACGAGGGGGGCGAGGCGGGAGGGAGGGGGAGGAGGGGGGGCAGGCGGCGGGGCGAGGGGCCCCCTGGCGCTGGCTGGCGCGCGCGTCCCCAAAGGGCTTCGGGCCGAGCTGGCGCTAGGAGGAGGAGGAGGAGGAGGAGGAGGAGGAGGAGGAGGAGGAGGAGGAGGAGGAGGAGGAGGAGGAGGAGCGCACGTACCCAGGGGAGGGACGGTGCAGACTAGCGGCGGAGCGTCGCAAAGCGGCACTCAGATGATACCGTCGCAGATACCGCCGAAGATGAATATGAAGGCGACCCCGTCGAGGCCGCAGGAGACGCCACCGAGGGCGACATTGGTGTAGAAGACTTTGAGGACGCCGCAGAATGCGGCGAGGAAGAACCACCAGAGGAGGGCCGGAGCTCCAGCGAGCCAACCAACTGGTCGTCCAGGATGTTGTTGAACTGGTTGATGCACTCCTCGTCCTGGAAGCTTGCGAGTAGGGTGTCGTAGTACAAGGCCGCCGTCGATGGAGAGGAGGCGCACGACGTGGTAGGAGCCGTGCACGCCGATGAAGAGGCCTCCTCCCTTGTTTGCACGCAGTTCTTGGTGTGGTGCATGATCTGTGCGAGGTCCTCCCGCCACTCTGCATCTCGGATGTCCAGGTCCGCGAATGTGACGAAAGCGGACTCCTTGATCAAGTCCGTCTCGTCGACGAGTTTGGTGAACTTGTTCATGTTGTGCTTCTGTTCTTCGAACATGTGCAAGAGGACGTCATGCTTGTCACCCTGGTCCAGCTCACGCCCAGGCAGTCTGTTACGGACAACACCATCGTCTTGTGGGCGCTGTACCTGAGCGGCCTCCATCGCCTCCACGCGCTGCGTCAGCACGGCCAGCTCCTTGATGTACTCCGTGCTATTCTTCTGCAAGCTCGTGACGACCATATCGGTGATCTGTATAGCGATGTCTTCCATGGTCTTCGTGAGCGTGCCGAGCAAGTCCGTGGTGAGCTGTCTAGCGATTCGCATTTCACGTAGTTCTTCATGTGCTTCTCAATGACCTCGTCAAAGTTGGCGCCCTGGTACTTCCCCTGCTCCTTTACGTAGGCGAGCTGCGGATGTTGTACCGATGTGTCGTCCAGCTCCGAGTCAGTGCTGCAGTTCTGCGGCTTGTCCTTGTCATGCTTCACTGGCTGGCTCGAGGCGTGCTGCAGCTGCATGCCCCGTTGTCGCCGATCGGGTGGGTACGGGATGAAGCCCATCTCGTACGCACGTCGCCGACGCTTATGCACTGTGCTCGCAGAGCGGGCGCCTCTCCGACGAGGAGCAGTCGGAGCCGTAGAAGAGGCCGACGGCGAAGCAGAAAACGCCGCAGAAGCAGTGAGGAGCGAGCCGCCAACACCGTGCATTGTGTAGTTCAGCACCGCGAATGCGATGAACGTGGCCACGGCGCCCGGAAGCCTCATGGCGCCATGGAGCTCCGCGCGCGCGGAGATGACCGCCCCCTCGCGACAAGGAGGAACGCTCGCGGGCGCGCGGTGCGGCTGCGAGCTGCCCAGCTCGAGAAGCTTGAGCCAAAATGGCTTGAGCCAAAATGGCTACGGAAGGAGGAGGAGGAGGAGGAGGAGGAGGAGGAAGAGGAGGAGAAAAGAAGGAGGAGGAGGAGGAGGAGGAGGGGGGAGGAGGAAGAGGAGGAGGAGGAGGAGGAGGAGAGGAGGAAGAGGAGGAGGAGGAGGAGGGAGAAGGAGAGGAGGAGGAGCAGGAGGAGGAGCAGGAGGAGGAGGAGGAGGACGAGGAGGAGGAGGAGGAGGAGGAGGAGGAGGGCAGGAGGGGAGGAAGGGGGAGGGCCGCGGGATGGCCAGAGCGCCCCCAGGACGTGAAAAGGAACTTCGGGAGGTACTGGAGAGCTGGGCTCAGGTGCTCGTCGCTGTCAGTGCGGGCGCAGAGGCACCGCAAATCCGAGGCGAGGAAAGGAGTCACGGGGGGGCATTAGATAAGGAAACCTTCGATAAGGAATCCAGGGTCTGGAAGCCAGTGGAACTCCAATCGTGGATTGGCCATGAATATCACCGCCGCCCTCATCAGATAAGGAACCCTCCAGGGTCTGAAGCCTCCTGGGCACGTTCCTGAACGAACGCCCCCACCGCATGAGAAGGTCACGGACGAGTCCAATCGGGGGAGCGACAGCGCATGTTGCCATCGCGCGATCCAGGGAACATACCGGCAAGGAGCACACAACGTAAACCAACGGCAATGCAAGCGTTAGCCTGGCGAGGGGCCCAACAATATGCAGCTGTGAGCAACGCAAGTGTGAATATCGTCTTCGGTGGAGGAGCTTCCTACGGGGCCACGAAACGTGTGAGGGGAATGCCGAAGTGGGCGGCGGGGACGCATGCGGGCTGCGCCACTGGGACACTCGGCGGAGCCCCTCTGGGGCCACGAAGCGTGTGAAGGGTGTGCCGGTATGCATGGCGGGGGCGCATGCGGGCTGCGCCACGGGGACCTTCGGTGGAGCTCCGTACGGGGCCACGAAACGTGTGAGGGGTGTATCAAAATGGGTGGCGGGGACGCATGCGGGCTGCGCCACTGGGGCGAAGCGTGTGAGGGGTGTGCCGAAATGGGTGGCACGGACGCATGCGGGCTGCGCCACTGGGACACTCGACGGAGCCCCCATGAGGCCGCGAAGCGTGTGAGGGGTGTGCCGGTATGCATGGCGGGGACGCATGCGGGCTGCGCCACGGGAACTCTTGGTTGAGCTCCTATGGGGGTCACGAAACGTCTGAAGGGTATACCGAAACAGAGACATACGGAGGGCAGAGGCACGGATGGGAGGGAGGAGGAGGGAGTGGGAGGTGGAGGAGGAGGACGGAAGGAAGGCGGGGCGCTGTCTGTTCAGAACGAGGACCCAACATCACAGGATGGTTGGGAACAACGCTGACACATCATCTACGTGTTCTTGACTACGGATCACTGTCGTTGGCGCTCTGGGCAGCGGACCCTCCCCGAATCGCTTCCGCCTCGCATGCAGAATTCCACGCTCACGCTGGAACAGCCAAACGCCGCCCCCCACCAAGCGCAACGAACAAACAGAAACCACAACGTGAAGTGTAAACAACGAACTACAATTCAAACGCTGATCACGGGTCACTGGCTGCGGTTGACGCGTTGGGCAGCCCACACCTTTGAAACTTCCCAAACTCTCCGACCTCGCACGCGGAATCCGAAGCTCGACCCAAGAGCAACCACACGTAACGTCAAAACAACTTTTTCGAATAACAGCAGGCAACGCAGCCCAAGCCGAAGCAGTCACCCGCACCGCTGTCGCTGATGATGGTTGGCCAAGGAGACAGGAGGCAGGAAGAGGAGACAGGAGGGGAAGGAGGAAGGAGGAGTGGAGACCACAGTGCTGTATCCAGAACGAAAACCCAGCGCAGGAGGGTTGGGAACAACTGCGTGAATATACACTTTCGACGGTTCGCACGGATTTCTTGGATCCGCGCTCCACCCCCCTCCTTGGCGCGTGGAGCGCGCCAGGGGGGCTCCAGCGAGGCTGGAGGGGAACTCGGATGCGTGCTCAGGCAGAGGCGGTTCTACGATTGCGGACGCCGTAACACTGGACATCCTAACAATCCCATCGTTGAATTAAACATGTTTTAAACATGTCGGACATACCCTCTAAAAATGTGTAAAAAAAACATGTTTTTGATACAAGGTTCAAGACCTGTTCACAACATGTTTGAGACATCTGGAAACTATTTGACAAGATACCTCCTCTCCATTGGTCGCCCTCCACAACTCTACGAGGTCCACGCGGACGGCGGATGCCTGGGCCCCCCGCAGCCCAACGATCGGCCGCGGCCCGCCGCGCCAGGCCAGCCCCCCTGCGGGCCCCGCGCACGGCCTGCAGCAGCGCCGCGAAGCGCACTTTGCCTCGGGGGTGCGGGGGCGTGCCGCCCGCCCCCGCCCGTCGTCGTCGTCGTCGTCGTCGTCGTCGTCGTCGTCGTCGTCGTCGTCGTCGTTGTCGTCATCGTCGTCGCCGTCATCGTCGTCGCGGCCGGAGCTCTCGGGCCGTTAATGGTCACATGGGGGGCCTCGCCGGGACTCCCTGAGATCCGGCCTTTGCAATTGTTTTACACAAGGCGTTGTCGCCCAATTTCGGTCCCAGGGGCCCTGTGTTGATCCGGCTGGCGTTGCACTTTTTTTGCTGACCGGGCGTGCTCGCTCGGTTTCGGGCCCAGGGGCCCTCACAGATCGATCTGGCTCAGAAGTGCAGCAGAAAGGTGGGGCCTGGGGCTTCAGTTTTGAGTTCTCATTACACTGCTTTTTCCCGCGTCGTCGGATTGCAGGTGCCCAAAACGGGCCAGAATGAACAACCGGGTCCGGCGAGAGGAGGTCGAGACTTCCGGGAAAGAGTCAAGGCCTGAGACGTCTGGGACGGCGCCGGGGAGGAGGAGGGAGGGGCAAGCCAGGGGCGAGAACGAAGCCAGGGCCTTGATTTTATCAATGCGCGGTCCCGGAAATCCAGACCCTTTCCTCAGGGCCCGCTGTTCATCCCGAGTGTTTGTTGACGGTCCCCAGGCCTGGCGAGGGCCCCGATAAACTCAGGCCTTCCGCGAGGCACCTCTACGGATGACCCCTGGAGGGCCTCCCGAGGCCACCATGGACGGGCCAGAGGCCACCAAGGCCGGAGGGGCAGAATGTTTTTTCTGTTAGCCCCTCTCTTACCGCATGTTTCGGTTTGTTGGTGGCTTCGTCTTCCCCAACACATCACCCGACGGCCTCTTCCGAGCGACTCCGGGCGATCGGAGCCCTTGTCCGAGCAGTCCAACTGCGTGACCTCCGACGAGCACACCCAAGCGGCAAAGCGGGCTGAAATCCCGCAGCGCCAGAGCTTTATCCTTAAACTTTAGGAGTCAACTTCTGGGAAGTCGATCTTACGAAGAGGCTTCGATCTTACGAAGACTCTTCGCAATATCGACTCAAGGCTATGAAGCCCGATCAAGAGGCCACTGGGCCAAATTAGGCCGGATAAGCTGGGGATTCAGCGGGATTGAACGGGATGAAGCGGCACTGCGCGGGATTGTGTAGGATTCGCCCAGTTTTCGACCACGGAAAGACCAGCGCCGATGCTGAATTGAACCGCCCAGGGGTCGCTCGTACTTCGTTGCAGTCCGATGCTCCAGTCTCCCAGGTGTCAGCGGGGTGGGTGGGAGCTTCACAAGAAGGGGTAACGCCAGACATGCTCGCCTCGTGCAAAAGAGCACGACGCGAGTAACTTTGGGCCTCCGGGGGCCCTCGCTGGGCCCTGGCCGTGAAGAAAACGACCTGGGATGGAAAGCTGGCCCCCGAGAAAGGGTCTGGACCTCTGGGGATCGCGTGTGGAAAAATTCAAGACATCGCATGTCTGGGTCCACTCTCCAAGGTGTCAGCGGGGGGAGATGATAAGAAAAAATGAATGGAGTGGCCAGCGTAGGGGAGGCGGAAAACGGGAAGCGGGACGGACAGGCGGCAGCGTGGCCGCGGCAGAGGACGGGGGACGTGGGCACGACAGCCTGGCGCGTGAAGGGAACCAGGCACCGAAGGAAACGACACGAGCCCTGGGCCCCCATGGGGCCCTTCTGCGGAACCGGCTCACTTCATATCCGAGCCCGTTTCACTACCTGGCGGCCCGAGGGGCCCTTTGGAGGGCCCTCGGAGCCCGAAGCGGGCGAGAAACCTCGGGGCCCCGGTCCCCCCGGGACCCCGCTTCCCTCCCAGGCCTGCGGTGTACTGATTTTCCATGCGCGCCCCCAGAAGCCCAGGCCCGTTCCCCAGGGCGGGTCTTTCGCCCCAAGCCGTTTTATGGACGGTCCCGAGGCCTGGCGAGGGCCCGTTAAAAGGTCGAAAACTCTCAGAAGCCTCCCTTCGATGTTTCCCACGGCGCGAGCATGTCTGGGGAGCAATGGCGACGCCGCCGAGCGCCCCGCCGGTGCTGGCCGCGGCCGTGCCGGACAACACGCCGCGCCACTGGACCAGGTCGACGATGCGCTGCGCGTGCGCCTCAGCGTCGTTCAGCCTGCGTTGTCGGCGCTTGGAGGGCCAACCGGCATGCGCGGTACGACGCGCGCGGCACGCACTCGTGTCGGAGGTTGCCAGGGGCTGAGGAGCCCCACCTCAGCTTCTTGCAAAAAGTCGGAACGCGTGGCCTCTGGAGCTCGTGAGGCGGCGCTCTGGCGGCCATCTGTGCGCCCCCGGAAGGGCTAGTAGGGTCAACTTGGGCCAAGGTCACCTCCAGCAGCACCCGACCGTGGGCGCGGGCTCCAGGGTCACGCCCCGACCAGACCGGATCATGAGGATGCACGGTGAGGATGCCACAATGTGCTTGGGCGCCCGAATCGAAGCCGAAATTGAAAGTCCGCGGCCCATGGCTCAAGGACCAAGGGGTAGGAAGGGCCGGGAGGCAAAGATGCAGGGGGACCCTTGGAAAATGACTCATCCTTGCCATGCGATTTGGTTATGCTACACGACTCGCCTGTGGCTGGTAAGTAGACATGCAGCTCAGAGAGCAATACTCGTCGTGGTCCCGGACGCCGCCGCGATGTCACGCGATTCCAGCAGCGCGCGTAGCGAACCGTACGCGATCACGGAGCTTGAAACTGGACTTCTCTGCGAATGTGGCCTCAGAAAGGCGTCGCGTCACACACACACACAGACACGCACACGCACACACACACACACACACACACACACGCGCACGCACGCACGCACACACACACACACGCACACACGCACACACACACGCACACACGCACACACGCACACACGCACACGCACACACGCACACACGCACACGCACACACGCACACGCACACGCACACGCACACGCACACACACACACACACACACACGCACGCACACGCGCACGCACACACACACACACACACACACACACACACCACACACACACACACACACACACACACACACACGCACACACGCACACACGCACGCACGCACACACACGCACACACGCACACACGCACACGCGCACACACACACACACACACACACACACACACACACACACACACACACACACACACACACACACACACACACACACACACACACACGCGCGCCTCTGAAGCAACTGCATGAAGGGGCCCTTGTCGATAGCCCAACGAGCTCGTTCTGCCCCTGCTTCTGTCGGAAAGTCCACTCCGCCACGCTCTGAGGCCTTGCCCCACGTTCGTCCAGCCTGGCCCCAAACATGCAAGAGCCCCTCCCCGCCTCCCCTGGGATGCCTGGCCCGTGCTCAGAACCTCCGCAGGCCCCTCAGGACACAGTGCCCCTCACGTCTCCGCGCCTCGCCCCGAGAGGTCGGCTGGGCACCCCGAGTCTGCCCCAGCCAGAGCCCTCGATAGGTCAACCTGCAGGGGCGGCGGCGTGCTGCTTGGCTGGAAGCGCCTGCCGACGCCGGGCGCCGTGCTGGGAGGCCGCCGCGTCGCCGCCGGCCGGCGGGCCGTGCGAGGACGCTCCGGGCACGCCTCTGCGGCGCTCTCGCCGGGGCGCGGCTGCTGGAACGCATCCCGAGGCAGGGGCACCTCGAGGGCTCGAGCACGCCGCACGAAAAAGACGCGACCTCGACGTGGCCGACCCGCTCGTCCGATCCGAGCCGGTCGTCCGTGCATGTCGGAGGCGGCCGCGCCCGCTCTCTGCAGCGCCGTCGCACTTCCGCCACCGTCCGTCCACTTGGCTCCACGCTGGAGGCGGCAGACAGAATGATACGCACGTAAAGCCTCCCGAAAGGCTGTGCCATCAAGAGAATCAGCAAAACTACTACAAAGGATCTTGTAGCAGTCGGGAAAACAACATTGAACCATCTATTTCGCTCGCCCCCCCCCCCCCACACAAAAAAATTGGAGCCAGAGGGACATCCTGGGCCGCTCTCGGAGCCGCCCTGGAGGACGCACGCGCCTTGCACGCTTCCCGCGCGTGATCCTGACGCCCGAGCAAGGGAACGGCCCCAGAACGCGGGGACAGACTGGTGAAGCGGCTTCAAGAAAGATGTATGACAGAAGCTGGTTGGGCAAATAATGAAAACGCCTTAGCGGCCGAAGATCGCTCGAGGCAGGCGTCTCCACACTGCGCGACGCCAAGTAGACGGCAGCGACACTACAGTAAGGGAAACTGAAACGCTTCAGCCGCCGCAGCCGCCCGGGGGGAAGAACAATGAATCTTACGTTCGCCGCCAGGAGCAGTGTTCCTGCCCCGAGGGAGGACTGGGCGGGCCCGCCCTTGATAGTTCTGGGGCTGATATGAAGGGCTCGGGCTGCGCCCAGACAGCACTCCAAAAGGTAGTCCTGGTTGGCCTCCACAGGTCCCCCGAGCAGGCCTGGTCGGTCTCAACTCGCTGGGGCCGCCTCCGCGGGCGGCCGTGGGGCGCTCCGCGCCCCAGGGCTCGGGTGTTGAGAGGCCGCCCCAGGCCACTCGGGGGGGGCCCGCGGAGGCCAACCCCGACCACTCGGGGGGCTGCACGTGCGCAGCCCGAGGCCTCTCCAGGCAAGACCGCCATGAGCGTGGAGAGCAGACGCCTCGAAGACGCCGTCCGGCGGGCCCCCTCTCGTAGCCACACTGGCCGCGCTCGCGCTGAGGCGCAGAGGTCACCCCCGCAAGGCAGCTGGATGGCACACACACACACACACACACACTTCTCTTCTGGCATCTGGGCGCTGCTTCATGGGAGGGCGATAGATGGTGGGGAGAAGCGTGTACCTTTCTGCACACAAACATCTACCGCCCCCAATTACGTAACGCTCGAGGTACTCCCGCACGTGAATATCAAGGCTTCAAGAAAATGCGGACGCGGCTGAAAGAAACTCTCGCAGGAAGCCCAGCCCTTGAGAGAGATCTGCTGCTCGAGCGAAAGCGAGAACGTACCCATTTCTTTAGTGAAAGTGGGAAGTCATTGCGCTGCGCACGCAGCGAAGAAACCCAGGGATGGTACCCTTACTAAAAGCATCTGGTGTCCTGATGCACGCCCCACTTTACTGTACCACATTCCTTTTCCAACGCCTGGAAAGCCTGGACCGCAGAGGCCAGGACCACCGAAAGCGACCCAGGATGGCCCAAAGCCTAAAGGTCCCCGAGACGGCTCAGAGACGCTCCCGAAGCCTGGACGACTGAAAACAGGACCACCGAAAACGCCCGACGATGGCTCAAAGGACTCCCCGAGACGGCACAGAGACGCTCCAAAGATGGCCTTCAGAATTCCAAATGTCCCTGCACAGAGCCAGGTCGCGAAGCTGGAAATCTCTGGAAGGGACCGCCCACGAGCGTTCCAGGAGCTTCGAAGATTCGACAACAGGTCTCCGACAACCAACATCTGTCCAAACGCTTTATCTGGCCCTGCGAGATGTCTAGAAGCTGAGGCGAGCCCAAGATGGCCCCAACAGGCTACCACGACGGCCCATGATGGCCCCAAGAGTTCACCAAGACATCCCAAGAGGCCCTCTGGAGACGCAGAAGGAGGCACAAACATGGCTCCAAATGACATCCGAAACGGCCTCAAGCGCCCCCATGGTAAGACCCGGAGGGCCTGGATACGACCCGTGGGGACCCAAGGACGCCCCAGGAGGGCTCCAAGCGGACGCCCCGCGGCGCTCCCAACACTCTGGACCTCCTGGTCGCGCCTACCGCGCCCCTCGCAGGAGCCTGGTCCAGTCTGCCCTACGAGCCGTTCGCGGCTCACGCGCTGCAGGAACCTCCGACGCCGCACGAGCCCTGTGTGCAGGCCGCCCGAGCCATGTGAACCCTGCAGGCTCTGCACCCCACGAGCCCAGTGAGTGCTGTGCTGCGAGCTCGACGGCCCCCGTGAGCCGCGTGAGCCGTTGAAGCGTCACGAGCCGCGTCGACGCCACGAGCCCTATGATGACCATGAGCGGCAGGAGCCACATGCTCCCGGAGCCCCGATGCGCTCGTCTGCTCCGCGATTCGGCTGGTCGAGCCCCGGAAGCCCCGAGACCCACCCGCCAGGCGAATCTCGCGGCCCCTATTAGCCTTATGAGACGCTGAAGCTCCACTAGCCGCATCCGCGCTGTGATCCTGACGAGCCCGAGCCCCGGGGGCCCCATGCGCCTCAGAGCCCCCTGACGCACATTATAGCCACGAGCCAGCGGAGCCTACTGTAGGCACCTGGCCCTCCGATCCCCATGGGCCCGACGACCCTCGTCGGCCACATTGGCCTCGCGAGCCTCAGGGACACTACGGGTGCTCTCAACTGCGGGGGCCCATTGGGTCTCTAGCGCTGCCGCAATGACTGCGGTGGCGGCTGCAGCAGTAGCTGCCCATACGGGGGCGGGCTGAGCGCACTTCATGTTTGTGCTGGACCGTCGCCTACAGCCATGGCATGGTCAAGCCCCGCCCTCGTCCCCCCGTATGCTGCTGTCCATCTTCGAGGTCTGCCTTGGCGCCCAGGGAGCTTCCACTTGTCAATGCCGCCCCCCGACATTTAAGACATGCGCGTGCGCTCAGCGCGACATCGGACTGGGATCTGATAGGCGAAGCGCATCGAGCCTGTAAAATGTGTTGTGCTTGGCCTTTTGGTGTCTCGTGCTGCCTTGGATCTCTGAAATTGGATGAGGTTGGCTTCTCGGGGGCACTGCAGAATTCCCTGCAGATGTCTTTAGGCCGTCTTGGAGACTCACGCATGGTGGAGGCGCCGTCTTGGGGGTCTTTGGGACCAGGACCGTCTTGGGTTCTCTTGGGGCCGTTTGAGGCTCGCCTTCTTTTGAGCCATCTTGGGGTCCTCTTGGGCCTGTCCAGTGGCCCTCCTGGGGCGGCTGAGGGCTCTCTTAGGCCGTCTTGGGCCGTCTGGGGTCTTCTTGGGGCCCTTCGGGCCGTCTTGGGGCGATGTTGGACGCCCCGCAGACCGCAAATGTGAGTACACAAGCAAACGGAACAACAACATGTTTGCCAGCTGGGGGCCTCTTCGGGGTGCTGTCGGGGAATCCTTGGGCTGTCTTGGGCACCTCTGATGCCGTGTTGGGCTCGTCGTAGGACCCGTTGGCCATCTTGAGAAACACTCGGGCCATCTTGGGGCTTCCGAGGGACTCCCAAACAAGATCCTGGCCTCCCCAAATATTCCCGGGGGAAGGGGTGAGAATGTGTGAAAAATGGGCGCGGGGGCCAAGGACCGGGTCGCCAGTTATCCGAGGTTTGGGGGTGAGATCGAGGTGAAACGGAGGCCCCTCTACCTGGAAGTCGGTTTCGGCCTCGTGTCGCGCGTGCAGGCGAGGCGAAGCTGCGTGAACGGGCGAGAGGAGTGATCCTACCGTTGCTGCGGCGACGTCAGAGTAAACGACTCTCCTCGTCCAACTGGCGGTCGGTACCCTTGTCCAGCGGTTGTCCCGATGGCTGTCTCAATTGTTGTCCCGATGGTTGTCCCGTGGTTGTCCCGATGGTTGTCCCGATGATCATCCCGACGGTTGTCCCGGTGGTTATTCGGATGGTCGTTCCCGTAATTCCCGTGGATGTCCCGATGGGTGTCCCGTCGGTTGTCCCGATGGTCGTCTCAATGGTTGTCCCGATGGTTGTCCCGATGGTTGTCCCGATGGGTTTCCCGATGGTTGTCTCGATGGTTGTCTCGATGGTTGTCCCGATGGTTGTCCCGGTGGTTGTACCGATGGTTGTCTCGATGGTTGTCTGGAGGTAGTCCCGATGGTTGTCGCGATGGTTGTCCTTATGGTTGTCCCGATGGTTGTCCAAATGGTTGCCCCGCTAGTTGTCTCGATGGTTGTACGGGTGGTTTTCCCGATGGTTGCCCCGATCGTTTTCTCTATGGTTGTCCCGATGGTTGTCCCGATGCTGTCTCGATGGATCTCGGTTAAAAGCAATGCGTTCGGCGCCATCGGCGCCCACAGAGTTTGACCAACATGCAGCAACAGAAAAACTCTCGGTGCCATCGGCGCCTGGAGGTTATGGCAAAACTGATGCAAAAGCTGCGATCGGCGCCTTCGACCCCAGAAGATGTTCTGCCAGAATTCTCCACAAAATGCGCTCGGCGCCTTCGGCACCGAGTCATTTAGAGAGATCGACAGATAGATTGGTAGTGAGGCAAACATGCACATGGTTACTAATAGCAATCGATAGACAGTGATACCGACCGATAGATGAAAGGTCGTTGTCGCGCTGGTGGTCCGAATCGCTTTCATGATGATCGTCCCAACGCTGTTTTCCGCTAGTTGTCCCAGTGCCGCCACCGTGCCTCTGTGTACGGAATGGGCGTGTGCTCAGGTCCTTTGCCGAATCCCGGACCCAAATCTCCGAAATCTCCCGGGGCGTAGGAGGAGGAGGAGGAGGAGGAGGAGGAGGAGGAGGAGGAGGAGGAGGGCCCTACGCCTCCTCCTCCTCCTGAGCCTCAGTCCTCGGTCCCGGACCCAACTCTCCGAAGTCTCCCGACGCTTCCCGCGTGCCCCCCTGGGCTCTACCACGCGGTGGCGCGTGATCGCTTCCATCCCAAGAGGGCCCCAAGAGGGCCCCAAGAGGGCCCCAAGAGGCCCCGAAGACGGCCCAAGAGGACCCCGAGAGTCGCCAAAAGATCGGCCCAAGACGCCCAAGGTGGCCCCCAGACGGCCCGAGAGGCCTCCAAGACGCCCCGAGAGGCCTCCAAGAGGCCTCCCAAGATGGCCCAAGAGGCAAACAGCATTGATATTCAACAGGTGTTTGGAAGAGGCGCTCTCGTCTTTTCGGCTTTCCGACGCTCGAGGACGGCCCAAGTGGCCCCCAAGACCACCCCAAAACGGTCCAGAAAGGCCTCCAACAGGGCCCCAAGACGGCCCAAGAGCGCCCCAAGACGGCCCAAGAAGCGCCCAAGATGGCCCAAGAGGTACAAAAGAGACAAACGGAGACCCTCCACCGAAAATTCGGTGTCGGTTTCGTGTTCGTGTGGTGCGGGCGGGGCGAAGCTGCGTGCGCGGGCGAGAGGAGTGATCAGGCCGTGGCTAGGGCGAAGCCGGAGCAAAGGACTCTCCTTCCGCCCGGCTCGCGGATCGGACCAGCGGTTGTCCCACGGTTGTCCTGCGGATGTCCCGTGGTTGTCCTATGGTTATTCTGGTGATTGCCGCGATGGTAGATTGATCGATTGAAAGAGGGACCGGTGGATAGATAGTGAGGCCGATCGATGAACATATAATATGTCGATGCAGATATTGACGATGATATCGGTATAAGGGTCGTGGGGTGTAACTAGCGGAATCGATCGACAGATAGCGAGAAACACAGATCGTAATATCGAAAGAGGTTGCTCGATGAATGGAAACGAGATGTCCTGATGGTTGTCTTGTCCTTGGCGCGCCCAAGCCGTCATGTCGCCATTTGGCAGTCTGACGAAGCTGCTGTTATGGCGAACCATCGGTAGATACGTCCCTAGGACACGTCACTTGACCGGTCCCTGGAAACGTCCCCTGACACATCCACAGGCACGCCTACCTGGCACATCCACCGACACGCCCCCTGGTACGTCCTCTGACACTCCCCCTGGCACCTCCACATGAAACGTCCCCTGACGCATCTCCTGACACGCTCCCTGACTCCCTGACACGCCCCGGGACACGTCCCCTGTCGCGTCCCCTGGACTCGTCCCCTGATACCATCGTCGAGCGTTCAGGCATTGGATTTACCTGTGACGGTCCTGCCAGGCACCATGGTCGGGACCTGAGATGCACCGTCCTCGAGCGGGCATGCTCGGGATTGGGATGCCCAGCTTCGCCCCCGCTTGGCCAAGACGAGACCTGGAGCTCCAGAGCGCGAGCTCCCTGGATTTCTGGTGTGCCATTAACCTTTTACCTCTGTTAGAAGCCGATAGCGGCAGCTGTTCAGGAAAGTCTGCAATCCCTCCCTGCGCGCCTGAGCACCTGCTTCACTCTTTGCCGCAGCTCGACTGGCACGTCCGCCAACTGACCTACACTGCTTCTCCTCCGCTCTTCGTTCTGTTTCTGCTTGATCAAGATGTGCAAGTTGCGCCGCACCTTCCCTACCATGTGTCACTCATCCAGCCCCAAACTCACCATAATCTCTTCCGCGAACACTGACCAAAATGGCAACTTCCTGCCGCAACCGCCTAGAGAAGGAACGCTGAATGAGGAACGAAGGGGCTTTCCTGGCCACGGCGAGCCTCGGCTTCGGAGTTTCTCGACCTAGATCTCAGCAACGGCCCGAAAATTAGAGACCCTCCTGAATCCGGAATAGTCCATGTGTCAGCGCCTTGACTGCATCATGATTTGAGCCAATGCGAGGGAATATGATTACACGCTATTGCAAAGTCCACCTCAGGCAAACCGTTGGGCGTGCGCTCCGCTGAGGCCAATGATCTGTGCGCGCGGCCCTGATGCGCACGGAGGCCATACATAGCCAATCTGTTGATGGCCTCTCCGTCACATGTTTGTTATGTGGCCCAATTCCGCTGAGGTAGGTAATGCCCTGGTCTGCGACCCCACTCAGGAGGTGTTCAACTTTCAGCCAGTAACTGTGCGAAATCCCCGTGATGGGCTTGCGCTCTCTCTCTCTGTCTCTCTCTGTATATATATATATATATGTATATATATCTTCCCCCTCCTCTTTTTCTCTCCCTCGCTCTCTCTCCCTTGCTCTCCATCTGCCTCTCCCTCCCTCCCTCCCTCCCTGCCTCTCTCTCTCTCTCTCTCTCTCTCTCTTCCTCGATAAGAGGTTTGGCGACCTCAATCTCCGAATTCGTGGGACCTTCGACGAGCCAGATCATTGTGCCCCAAATCGGGGATACCTGCAGAGGGGTGTCCCTACTCGGGTGCATCCGAACTAAAATCCTGGTGCATATCGGGATCTGTCCCTTGTGTCCTAAACGACGAGATCTTTCACGTGGGGCCCCGGGGGATGGGGGCGAGAGGTCGCCTGGGGCCTTACTCGCCTCCAAGATGGTGTATGTCCAGACTTCGCGCCGCCTGGCACTCCAGGAGCTCGGCCGCTCCGTCGCCTCCGAGCCGGAGGTCGGCATCTCCTGCCGCCAGACTTCGCAGACCCGGGTCCTCTTGATCGGGAAGCTCGGGGCCCTGTGGTCGGGTCGTCGCTCATCGGGGGGGCATGAGCGTGGGGTGAAAACGCGCGCGGTTTTTCCAAACACCTCTCAAGCCCGCGGTGGCAGTTCAAGACCTGTTTAGCGCCCCTTCGGGGCCACTCTCCTGCATCCCCAAGGGGAGCTCCTCGATCCCTCCACGTCCTATGGCCCCTCCCGCCCCCCTTGGCCGTCCGCCCGAGCTGGGTCGGCCGCAACGGTTACCCTCATGACCCGCGCTCGCCGACCCTGCCGCCTGGTGCTTGCACTCCGGGCTCCTCCGACACCCGGCCGGAGGCACCGACTGCGCCTCAGCGAGAAAAAAACACACGTGGGAAACAAAAACACACACTGTGGGAAAACAAAAATACACACTGTGGGAAAAACACATAACACACAGTATGTGTTTTCCCCACAGTGTGCGTTTTTTTCCCACAGATCGCACAGTCGCGAAGGGTGCAGCGACGACGCACGCCTCTCGGAGGAGCGCGTGGCAATCTGGCCCCTGACCCTCGTAGAGAGGCAGTCCCCGCGCAGACGTGGCGCCGGGGCGGGTGCTCTTGAGAAAGGTGGTGCGCGCGTGCCGCTGTTCAGCATCCCGGCTTCTCCGACGTACCCGTTCTTAGCTCCTCTCTGCCCTGCAGGGGGGGCACACGACTGTCCACGACGGTGTGGCCTCCCTGGAGATGCAGAGGGAGGTGCCCTGTGGGTCCTCGCTCCAGTCCTCCTCCTGACACCTGGCCCTAGCCATGCGCATCCTCGTCGTGCACCAGGCCTTCCTTGATTGGATGCTGCTCCCGATGCTGCATATGCTATTCAGGCTTCTGTCCCCCCCCGCTGTTGGTTGACATTGCCGTCGTTCCCGCTTTTTTTTCATAACCTCTGCATGATTGTCCCCTCATCCGGTTACAACATTCGAGTACATGTACTATATCTACAACATATATATATACACCCACGCACGCACACACACAGAGCATTAATCGAATTCGGGTCTGCCGAACTGCAACCTCTTACCAATGCACGCTGGTACTGTCACGGCCGTGGTCCGTGGTGGTGATGGTGACACTGCCCACCTCCGCATCTGGGAAACTAACAAGCCTGGTGCGACATAACATGCGCTGGCTCGCCGCAAGGCATCTTTGCGGTGTCCCTGCGCCGAGGGCCCCACCTTTCTCCACAATCTCTGGGCACGCGTTTCTTCTTCGTCTTCAGATGGTGAGGCCTCTCCATCTTCGGCCTCACGGTCTTGGGTTGGGTCACAAGGGCCAGGAGGCAGGTCGTGAGTTCGAGCGGCGAGGGAAGAGACATCGCAAGCACGAGGAAGCCAGACAGGAGGGCGACAAAGGGGAACGACAAACCCTTCAACCTCAAGATTGCGCTGCCGTGCGCACTCACAACCCCTTGTGAAGAATGGCGCGGGACGAACATCACAACCGTGCCGCCCGAAGCATTTGGTGCGTTTTCTTTCTGGAGGCCGCAGCTAATGCACCACCACCGCCTCTGGCCAGGGTTGCCCTGGGCCCTGGGATGCCTTATACGACCTGCTGGCTCGACCAGGGGGGTCTACAACACCATCCTCGATCCCAGGAGGACGGCCCTGGCCAAGGCTGGTGGTGGTGTACAGTAGACACATAAGATGAGGAATCGTCCTGCAAGAAATGCTGTGGCACCTTCTTCGTCTATCCTTGAGGGTCCACAGGTGCCCCCATAGCTTCCGTGGGGCACCTGCTGGCAGGCCGGCATCTTTGTTGGCGTGCCCGCTGTATGGCTGCCTTCTGGGGATGCCGGTGCTTCGCGCAAACAGAGCTCTCGAGCGCTGTGCGTTGACAGCCCCGCTGGGCATGATCTCCGGCCTTGGACTTCGCGGAGGTTCACCTGCAGGGGCGTTTCCTGATTCTGCAGCTTCGGCTTGCGTGCAACGTCTCCTTGCTCCTGGACGTAGTTGGTCACTACGTGCGGCTTCCTGCTTCAACGTATCTGCAGGGTCAACTACCCCGCTCCTTTGGCGCGTGGCGCTTGCTGCATGGATCGTCTCCCCACTGGCGGAATGCCCTCCCTCACACAGACGGCCCCGTCCGCCCCCTCCTGTGCGCCTGCTCCATCACATCCTTGATCGGCCCGCTTTCGAATGCGAGAGCAAGCACAAGGATCACGGTGTCGCGAAAACCACATTCGCTTGTTGCGCACATCCCCCCAGGTCATCAAAGAAACGACCAAGGACGCATAGCGGGCCCCAGGGCCCAAGGAAGAAGGCCAGGACGTCCAGGGACCCCGTGTCCAGTGAATCGAAGCATCGGATGCCTGGGCCCACTCCGCCCGTGCCCTCCTCCTTGAGGGGGGAACTCAGGGGGGCAGCGTCGAGCTGGAATCGGCGACACATCGCCGATAGGATCGGCGATGGGCCCCCGATATCAAATCCGCACGCTCCTGGGCGTGGTAAGCTACTGGGGCCCTATCGGCGATGGATGGGCGATTGGGGGCCGATGCACCCCCCCCTGAGCCAACGGTCCTCGCCTCCTGGCCTTCGGGTCACCACTCGATCTCCAGCGGCCGTGCGGGACGATCAGGGCACCCCAAGAACGCTCTCGGCGAGGTGCAGCTGCTGGAAGGCATCCGGAGGCTGGAAGATCGCCGAGAACCGACTAAAAAACGCCTAAAGACCCAGAACCTCCCACTTCGGACCCGAAGGCCTCCCCACCCTACGGTCGGGAGCTTTTGCTGTCCGTGTTGCGGCGGCGGGTGTCGCTCCGCTCCGCGGGGAGGGATGCGTGGAAAATCTTGGGACGCTGACGCTTCGGGACCAGGACGTGGATAGCGTGTCGCGCCGAAGCGCAGTGGGCCAGAACCGGCCTCGCGACACGATAAGCCCCAATTCCTGCACGTAACGTCCACCGCCCCTGACGACTGCTGTCCGTCCCCCCCCCCGCGTTCTCCAGGCCGGGGTCCCGCCTGCCTGGCCCGCCTGCCAGTCCGTGCCCTCCGCCTGCCAGTCCCGCTGCTCCGGGGACTCCAGCAGCGGCAAGCCCTCGGGGCCCAGTGCGAGTCCGATCCGATGGTCCTCAGAACGTGTGCTGCGTGCTAGCGACAGCGTGTGCTTGTCCGTCGAAGCCCTTCAACACGACGCAGGCGGCCCGGAGACCCGACGCAGCGGGCAAAAATGCAAGACACACTCAAAGATCACGGCCAGAGCGCCAAAACCCATCTGCCTGCGCTATTCTCCGAGCTGGATCGATCCAGGGCCTGAAACTGGGCGAAAACGCCCGGCTCCAAAAGGTTGGGACGCCAGGATCTGAGAGGATGTGGAGAGGGCAGGCGCAGGCTGCGAGCAATCGGCGGAGCTGATCGGGGTAAGCGCACATTGTGCCAACACGCGCCGCTGAGGATCATCGACCAATCCCCTTGCCCAGAGGCCTCCCAGACGGGGTCCGAGCAAGTGGGGCCGGAGGATCGCGCCGCATCGCCGATGTTCCGCTGCAGCATCTGCGATGCATCGGCGGCGGCGGTGACGCATCGGATGCCGTCGGAGTGGAGGAGACCGGGCTCGAGACCGAGTCGCATCGCCGCTGCATCGGCGGTGCGCCGATCCTCCGAAGCCTTTCGGGAGGCCCGGGGCGGGCACAGGCCAACGTGGATTACGGACCCACGGATTGGGGAGAGTACCCCCGAAACATGAAGCCAATGTCGCCTGAGTTGGCGACGCAGCGCGTCGATCCTGCATGGGAACAGGGCCCGTCACTGGCCCACGTGACTTGCCCGTCGGTCGGCAGAAGTGGGCAGATCCAGAGATCCATGAAGTAATAAGGCGTCTGAAGTGGGTTGTGTGTTTCCACCCGCCCCCAGAAGAGGAGGGGAAAGGAAGAAGCGCTCGCTGACTGAAGCAGGAAGGCGCCTCAAGCAGATTGGGATCTGGAAACCCCGAAACGCCTACTTCCAACGACCGACGTGCACTCCGTGCCTGCAGGTCCTCGACGGGGCCTCCTGCGGCCCGCGAGCGCAGCGTCCTGAGCTGCAGCGCCCGCCCCTCGGCCGGCGATGGCCGGGGAGGCCCCAGGCGGGGCGGGGCGGGCGCACGCAGCAGGGCGGAGGCCGCCCCGAGGGGCGGAGGCAACATAGTGTGCAGGGTGAGGGTGCAGAGCGGGGAGCGGGGAAAGCGGGAAAAAGCGGGGGGAGCGGGGGAGGGCGATGTTTTTCACAGCTCGGGACGGGAACGGAGTCATGATAGGATAGGCTCAGGATGCGTTCCAAGATTTCCAAGTTAGCGGCCCTCTTTTCTACAGTCCGGGTGGGACAATTGGGACATCTAGGAAGCCTTGGAGCCAATCATTAGCATGACCTCTTGCTCTTCTGATACGGTCGGGAGTCGGGAACTCCTGGATAGCGTGACGCCACGGCAGCCCCGGCGACACGCTATGCCCTGCGAACGGATAGAGGGTCGGGAGGCTCGGAAAAGCTCGGGACGTTGAAGCTCGGGGACCAAGAGGTGGATGGCGCGTCGCGCCGAGGCGTGGTGGGCCAGAACGGACGGACCGGCCCGCTGTCCCAAAGTGTCCGACCGTAGCTTTCCGCCGCGAGAACTGATCTTGGAGAGGGCGGTCAAATACTCTCAACGACGACGGCACACAACGTGTCAATATTCGCCCACGGCGCTGCTGCGCGACGGGCACCCCCGCGGGAATCTCTTAATCGTCGTCCTGGCCCCCCCGCGCCGTAAAAAACACGGCGGCACGAGAACGCAAGGACCGGGCTAGCCAGGATTCGGCGGCGAACCCCGGGGGTGGGGGTAGTGAGAAGGGGGGGCCTTCTCAAAAGGCTCGGAAGGTGTCCGGCCTTCTGAAAAGTTGTCTACGTAAGCCCTCTCCGAAGACACAAAGAGCTTCTCAGAAGGCCGGAGGGCTTCTGAGAAGCCCCGTCCAGCTTCTCAGAAGGCATGCCCCCTATCACTCCCCCCCCAGCGCGCACCCGAAGGATCGGATAGGTGAGAGGGTATACCGTCATCGAGATACCACTTGGAACGAATTCGCTCTTCTGGCCACGGGCGGCCTCGGCCACGAAGAAGTTCCGCGGCCAGGCTCTGCGCCACGGCCGGGAAAAGGGAGCCCCTCCTGAACCTCAAAAGTGGTCCTGGTTTCGGTGCCTCGGCTTTAGCCGGCGCTCTCCGAGGACCGTTGCCGTGCCTTTTGTGTCGCTGGAGGGTGAGGGACAACGACAGGGAGGGACTGACTGGCATAGAGGGGGAGACGTCGAGCTGGGATCGCCGATCCCGAATCCGCACGTTCCTGGGTAGGGGTTAGGGCTATGAGACCTTATCGGCGATCAGTGGGCGATCGGGGGTCGGAGCATCCCCCCCATGCCTACCCCCACCTACCGTTGCTCCTGAGAGATAGACACCTCTCGGGGTAGAACGCTGGCTCCCGAGGGAAGAGGCCGAGGGCCGAGACCTCCGGCTGAGGGCCCCTGCTCCGAAAAAGCCACGACGTCTGGGGTGTGGGTGCGTACCCTCCCCCCCCCTCCGCCTGGCAAAGTCTCCTCCCCCATCCCTCGTCCAAATAAATAACTCATCCCTGTCGTACCCCCAGTCGCGGGTGTCGCGGGTCGCTTCCCGCTGTGAAAACCATTCCTTCCAGGACATGCGAAGAGGGAAAATGGAAGGCGGGTGTATTGCAACATCGTTGATGCGTCTTGCGCTGGTCCTTCTCCTCCTCCATCCTCCCCCCTCCTCAGCCTCCTTGTCCTGCTCCAGCTTTTTCTTCCGTCCTGGAGCACGGAGGCATGCGCGCGCCGCGCCAGACGCGCCTACGCAGGCGCGCGCGAGACAAAGCCGGCAGGAGACCGTTCTGACCAGGGCGCGTTCTGACCAGAATTTCGGGGAGAATCCAGCCGTGGCGAGAAGGGCCTTCCAGGATGAGCAGCGGCATCGGTAGCCCTTCTCCTCTGAGTTCTGACGCCCTCCCTGGCGACTTCGCGCTCTCTCGACGAAATCTTCGCGCCACGCGAAGCGCGATGAAATCTTCGCGTTCTCGCGCGCAACCCTCCCCCCCCCCCACGAGGGTCGACGACTCCGAAAGGTGTGGCTTGCAACGGGTGTGCCCTGGGCGGGCGCCCTGGGGGTCGGGCGAGGACCTCGGCAGAGCTCTCCGCCGCGCCCCGACGAGGACGGCGTCGTGCCCCTCGGGCCCCTAACGGCGCCGATCGCCAACCGCACCCGGGTGCAACCACGCCCGCTGCAGTCGCCGAGAAGGGCAGCTCTCTGTGCCGAGGCGGGCCTCGGCGGAGCGCGCAGCACGGGGGCCGCTTCCTCGCGTGCCGCGCAGGCGAGCCACGGGGCTGCGGCACAGGCACGGCGCAGGGCTCTGACTGCTTTTGCCGGCGGCAAGCGCGGACCAGAAACGAAACGACACCACCCCGCCTGCGACCCAGCGAGGTTGACACATCGGGCGCCGGGACGATCTAAAAACGGCTCGGGCCCTGGGGAACGGGTCGGGACTTCTGGGACCCGCGCCTGGAAAAAATCCAGACATCGCATGCGATCGCAAGCCAAGGCTACTGAAGAGGGGGGGGGGCGAAGCAACTCACGGCTGCCCAGGCGCCAGAAGCGCCGTGCATCGAGAGAGGCGCCCAGCGGCGGGGCCGGATCCAGCTTCGTGCATCAGAGTTCGCACCCCCTCCTCCTCCTCCTCCTCCTCCTCCTCCTCCTCCTCCTCCTCTTTCTCCTCCTCCTCCTCTTTCTCCTCCTCCTCCTCCTCCTCCTCCTCCTCCTCCCTCCTCCCTCCTCCCTCCTCCCTCCTCCCTCCTCCTCCCATTAGTCGTCCGACCCGAAGGTGTCGTCGCCTGCACCTGCGCCCGGATCTCCCGCGGCTGTGGGCCAGAACGCCAGCCAGCAAAAGGGCCACAGTCTCATTCCCGGGCGCGCATGGCGGAATGGGGGGGGGTCTGGGGCAGTGAGAACCATTGGGGGAGGTCTGCGCATCGCGAAGGCTGAGAGAAGGGGTGGACCAGTCAGCACAAGATCTGGAGATCGGGCCGCTTCGGACTGTGCGTCGGATCGGTCTGCATCGGCACTGGGTCGAGATCAAATTGGATCGGCAGCGCAAAGAAGCAGAACAGCACCATGCAAACTTCGGAACCCCATTGGGCCGCATCGGACCGTAGAGACATTTGTTTCTCGGGTCCAGCGATATTTTTCTAGGGTCTCTAGGACCCCCCGCCCCCCCCCACCGCACAACCTCAACTTGTCCGTTGCGCAGGTTCGACGGCTTCGGCACTGGCGCGTGCGGGCGTAATTACGTGGGGCTGCCCAAAGCGAAAACGTTAAGTGCTCACACGGGCTCGCGCTCCAAAGGGGGTCCGACGGCAGACGCTGGCCGAGAGACCGAACGTGTCGCCTAACGCGCACGCCGTTGCCCGCGCGGGCCAAGCGAGAGCGTGTGGGAGGAGTAACGGCGGCGGGTCCAGGGGGGCGGGGGAAGTGAGAAGGGGCAGGCAATCTAAGAAGCCGGCGCCGTCTTTGTCTTCGGATAAGGCGTAGAACACTTCTCAGAAGTCGCCAGGGCTTCTGAGAAGATCCGCCGCCTTCTGAACAGGCCCGGCCCCCTGTCACTTCCCCCAAGGCTCGCCGCCCGAGGGTAGCTCACCCCTTGTCGGTCCCAAAACGGTGCGATGACAGACCGTGCCAGTGACCGCGAAACCTCACAGCGCGGTCTGTCACCGCACACCTTCTTCACCTTCTTGGGGACCTTGGAGACCCTGGTCGCCCGTGACGTCCCCGGAGAACGACCTCAGCCCCCAAAACCATACACCGTACCGGCTGGGACCTCCGAGGTCCAACGCGGGCCCTGCAAGGGCGGTTGCTGCTGCGACGAGTCAACAAATCGCCGTCCCCCCCCCCCCCCCTGCGCCTGAGGGGGCCGCGAAGCATGGACCCCCAGGTCGACTTCTGAGCCGCCATGTCACGGGCCACGAGACGCTGGATCGGCTCCGCGAGGGAGGGCCATACGGCGCCGTGGGCCGCGAGGTACACACAGCCCACGGACTGGCCTCTTGAACACGACCACGAGTCACGAGCAGAAGGTCCTCGCCGCTCTATCGTTTGAGGACAAATGGTGGCAGGACGGAAGAACAAGCTGATTTAAGCGAGGTCTGGCCCTCAGTTGCAGCCCGACAGCTGAGACTCAACCCGTCGTCGAACGAGCGAACGGCGGGGGTGCGAAAACGTAAAGGGCATTCGCGCTCTCAGCGCCCTGGCTCAGCCCTCGGCGTGACGACGAGGCCATCAGAGCTCACACAAGGATTTCGAAACGTGCGAGGGGTGTGCTAGAATGAGCTCGCGTGCGCCGTGGGGACTTTCGTAATTGAACCGTAGGTGGAGCTCCCTAACGGAAAAGGGAAAGTTGATGTTTTCAATGTTTTGGCCCTCCTCTAGGAATTCGCAACAGGATTTGGAGTCCGTAGCCATTGTGGCTGGCAGCAGTGCTTTTTTGACTCTAGCGCGCCTTCGTTTCCGAGCGAACCTCAGTGGCGCCGGCGCATTAACGAAGGTTATCTGATGTAAATTCCGCGAGGAAGCGCAACAGGAATCAAATGGAACCGTCGGGGCTTTCGGACACCGGACAGGAAATTGCCGAAACCAGATCTGATTCAGGACGTGGGTGAGGATGACTCAGGCGACACTACTGTGCTCATGAAGAAACGCGAGAGGAACTTTATACTCTATTAAGAAGAGTCTGCTCGATGGCAACATTCATGGCCGCACGGCTAAAGCACAAACGCTGTCACAACAAAACGCACAAACATAACATCGAAATCTTAACTCCTCCTGTCTGAAGGAGCAGGAAATGTGTGAGCGGTTGCCGAAATTCGCGGGGGGACGCCTGCTAACTCTCCCGATGGGGCTGGAGGTGGAGCTCCCAAAGGGGCATACAACATTTGAGAAGGTTGCGCCAAACTGGGTCGGGGGACGCGTGCAAACTGCCCCACTGGGGCCGCAAGTGGAGCCTCAAAGGGCGCGAATCGCGTGAAGTGTGTGCCGGGATGGGCCTGCGTACGCCATGTGTACTTTCCCACTGGGGTCGTAGATGGACACGAAACCTATGAGGTGTGTGCCGGAATCGGTGGTGGGCCGCCTGCTAACTCTCCCGCTGGGGACGTAGGTGGAGCTCCCTGACGCACCAAACGTGTGAGAGTTGTACCGCGGTGGGGGGGCGCGTACAAACTTTCCCGCTGGGGCCACAGGTGGAGCTCCATCGGCGGCACGAAACATGTGAGGGGCGTGGCGACACGGGTGTTGGAACGCATGCGTTTTTCTTCCAATGGGGCCGTAAGTGGAGCTCCCAAGCGGCATCACGAAATGTGCGAGGGATGTGCCAGACTGGCCCCGCGTCCGCCATGCGGACTTTCCGCACGGCTGTATGATGAGCTCACTGAGGGGCTAAAAAGCATGTGAAGAGTTGGAATCGGTGGGGGGACGCCTGCAAACTTTTCATCGGGGGTCGTAGGTGGAGCCCCAAATAGCACGAACCGCGTAAGGTGCGCGACGGAAAAGGCCCGCGTACGCCATGCGGACTTTCCCACTGGGGCCGTAGGTGGAGCTCCCTGCGGAGCACGAAATCTATGAGGGATGTGCCAGAATAGGTGGGGGGACGCGTGCAAACTTTATCAATTGGGCCGTAGGTGGAGCTCCCTGAGGAGCACGAAACGCGTGAAGGGTGTGCCACACTGCACCCGCGTACGCCACTGGGACAGTAGGTGGAGCTCGCGAAGGGCACGAAGCGGGTGAGGGGTGTGGCCCAATGGGGGGGGGGGCGCATGCAAACTTTCTTTCTGGGGCACATAGGTGGAGCTTACCTACGGCGCACACAGGCCCAAGTCATGAGGACTTTCCCACTGGGGCCTTAGTTGAACCCCCCTGAAAGCACGACATGCTTGAGGGGCGTGCCGTTATAAATCCGCGTACGCCATGCGGACTTTCCCACCGGAGCCGTAGGTGGAGCTCCATATGGGCACGAGATGTAGGTGCAGAGCAAAGGTAAGGAAAGGAGAAAGAGGAGGGGAACATATTTGTTCACGAACGGCACACAGGTTGGCAAACATCGGCAAACATAATGCCAACACACACGAATACAGAAATGTGTTGAATGCAATGTGTTACAAAACTATGCCGTACCTCTGGTTTGACACTTTGTGTTGCAAGATGTTTGTCTTGAATGTTTGCCTTGAGAAATACGTTCCTTCACGAAGGAAGGCGAAGGACAGGGAACAAAAACCTGCCGCGTGCCCTCCCCGAGGCGCGGGCCGGCCTTAATGTCCCGCCCGACGTTCTTGATCGACGGTTGTAGCCTCGGCGGCCGAAGAGGCTGCAATGAAGGGAACTGGTCCTGACAAGAATTCTGGACAACTTGGGGTCCCAAGGCTGTACGAAGAAGCGACTGCTGAGACCCTGGAGGCCCCAGTCGCTCGGGAACCGAGAGACCCTCGGAGAACGACGCAAGCCACACGACCGTGCGGTCACCCCGAATCCCCCCTGACTCACTACACTGTGTGGACATCCGCACCTGTTGCGGACCCCCAGGACGAGCAAAACCATGCCCACCCTCACCCCCACCAGAGAAGCCTGGGCCCCCCCCCCAGGCCCTGTCCTTCGGGACGAGAGGAAGGGGCGCCCTGGGCAGCGGGAGGCCGGGGCGCGGCCGCGTCAGGTGCAGCGCTGCCCGCGGCGAGCGCACCGCCCGGGGGCGTGTTTGCAGGGAGCGCAGGGAGGCCGGGGCGTGCCAGGCAGGCTTGCCGCTGCGCTGCGCGGGGGCACGCCGGGGCGAGGGAGGGCGCCTGTGGGCCGCGTGTTGCCTGGCCAATGCAGCCATCGCGCTGCAATAGGGGGGCGCTGGGCGGCGAACACACGGGCTTTTCGGCCCTGGCTGGCCCCGGCCACGAGTAGGTTCCCCGGCCCATGTCGAAGGAACGGCCCGAGAACCGAAGACCTTCCTGAGCCCGAGGGGGTCTTCATTTCATCGTCTTGACTGCACGGCCGATAACGGAGCTTGCACCCCCCCGCTTCCGAGGGACTGAGGGAGAAGAGGAGAGCGGAGATCCCAGCCAACTCAACGAGGCTGGCAGCGAGACCTGTCGGAATTGCCTCCGCAAGCGGCCCAGGGCAGGTGACGTGAGAGGCACGCGAGAGGACAGTGGCGGAAATCCGCCCTGCCTTCTGTCTTCTTCTGTCTTCCTCGCTCCTTCGATTACCTGCCTTCGTCTCCATATCAGTCAACGTCTGCGCCTCTATATCATCGTCGGTATGTCACCCACTCGCCTTATCGTCCGAATCACTTCTGTGAAGAGCCGTCCTCATGACCACACCCCAATGCGTGGGTCCTCACCTGGCAAGAGCGTGGAAGGAAAGCGCTAAAGCAGCAGGACGGCAGGGAAGGGTACTACAGTCAACGTGCAACCAGCAGGAGCGTTGAATCAGTAACCAGGGGAATGTTCTGGCCACGGCGAGCCTGGGCCACGAACAAAGTCCCGACCTAGATCCAAGGAATGGCCCTCACCCCAGAGCCCTTCCCGAGACCACCGTGGCCCTCATTTCAGCGCCTTCGTTGTAGAGGCGAGCACATACGAGAGGCCTCTACAAAAATGCAGACGATCTGAAGCAAATGCGGGCGGAGTCGAATTGCTACTGCCATGCTCACTGCAAGGACGATGTGTAGGACAAGAATGGTGTCATGATGCGAATGGCTTTAGGATACGATGCGGCCCTCGTTTCTGCAGCCCGTTTGGAACAAACATAAATACTCGACATCTGGGGACTCTGGAAAATCAGAGAATGCATCGTTTCATGACCTCTTGCTCCTCCGAATGTTGTTGTGGCGCAGTTGTTCTAAGATGGTCAAGCTAGCTGGTGACAGGAGCCGCAGCCCTCAGCACATGTTGTCTGCAAGGTGGGCACACCCACATGATGTCCAGAACACCACCAAAATTGGTGATGTTGAGCTCACATCTCTCTGGTGCAATAGACGGTTGCCAGCGACGTATGGCTGACAGCAACGGCTGCCTTCCACTGGCGAAAACGATTTGCATCACCTCGTTGCTCGACCTGGCTAAACATAGGAGTGCCGCAGTGGTCGCCCACTTCGGGTTCACCCGCGGCCCAATGATGAAACTCCGCTTCCGACATTTGGCTCGCCGTATGCGGCGAGCTGGTGTGAGAAGACCACCTGGATTTAATGGTGACAGATGTCAATCATCCAACCTGCCCTCTGGGCATGGGTTGCCTTGGCTGCGCATCTGCCCTTCCAGGCCCCCCTCTTCCCCTCCACTCCCTCCTTAGGGGTCTGGACAAGGAGAGCACGAATCGTCAGAGCGTCCAGATGACACCAAATGGATCCAACATCGCCCAAGGTAGCCAACGATGGCATCCAATACTGCGAATCATGTGCTAATTTGGTTCACGATGGCTTCCAGCATGCCTCCAAGTCCTTAGAGTGCCATAAGACGCCCCGAAGTGGCCAAGGAGCCTCACGGTGGATACCTCCGAGGGGGCAACATCCTTCAAGGTCAGGCGTTGTGTTGTCAAATTGTGTTGCGTTTTCGCCGTGTTGCATTCAGTGGGCCCAGAAGGCCTCGTGTTGGCCCAAGAAGAAAGCCCCATGCCCCGAGACGGCCACGAAGACCCCAGGTGGCACCCGAACAGCGCCCTTCTCTGGGCCCCACGAGGCGACCACTCGAGCTCCCACAGAGAAGGCGGAGAGCAGCGCGTGGCCGCCACCGACACTGCCGACAGCCGGACCACGCGCGACTCCGCCGGCAAAAACAGAAGTCCCACCACGATACTACACAACTTTGGCACGGAGGGCTCCTGGAGAGGGCCACACATTAAGCCACAGTGAGAGCATCGCTCAATCGCTTAGCCGGCAGAGAAACTGCTGGCAATTGATGTCTGTGGCAGCTCCCTCCGGCAAGAAGCTATGACATGATACGCCAGCCTGGTGCCCCCAGACGGAGAGCTCCCCACGTTACGTAGGTCTCTCTGGGCGCTTGGGGATACGAATGCAGCATGTTATGATATTCTCCGGAGTGGGTAGGCGAGCTGTCGTGTGTTGCGGATGGCTGGCAGTGCAGGGCGAAGGCCGTGCTGCCCTTGTGTGCTGTTCTGCACGCTTTTGGGGTTCGAATTGGCGTAGTCGCAAGAGAGGGCGCAGGTGCCTTTTTCCATCGGCCAATGATCCACAGGAGTGCGTTCTATCTCGACGTCGTGGTGAATGTGTGGATCGACTGCGTCGTTCGCTGCTTCGGCCTCGCGGCTAGGGTTGAAGCAGAGCTCTTGGCCCGAGAATTGCTGGATAATGCTGGCTAGGTCGGCGTCGAAACTGCAAAGTTCTGCTGATGTCGTCGTGTGTGCACATGCTGCTCCCATGCCATGCTGTCACCATGTTGCTGCTCCCAGACGTGTGAGGCCTCCCGTGGTGCCTCCTCATCCACACCAGGGTCCTCGTCTGGGGCCGCGGTGCACAAAAAGTTGGCATCGTCGTCGTCCTCGTCGTCGCCATCCTCCTCCTCCTCCTCCTCCTCCTCCTCGTCCTCCTCCTCCTCCTCCTGCGCGCGCTTGCTGCCTTTACTCCTCCTTCGGGGTGGCCTGGCCATCTGCTGGAACATGAAGATGCGGTGGGTGGCCAGGGCGGCATCCGACGTGACCTGGCCATGGCGCAGGGCCATCTGGGTGGCCTTCTCCTGCGGTCCCGCGGGGATCGGCGACGACGTCGCAGTGAGCGGAAACATGCCAAGAAAACAACTTTCCAGCGGTCCAAGCAAATGCATCCTCACAAGTAGACCTGCATAGAACCTCCTTGAAAAGTAGACCCCCCTAGCCGGCTCCAAATGGCGTTTTCAAAAACCCTGAACCAAAAAATCTTGCGTCAACTTTTCGGAGGCCGACTTGTACTTCCGCCGTCCGCCGCCTTCCGCCGACCTTCCGCTGGCGACAACGGCCTCGTTGAACTTCCACCGCCTTCCGCCAACCTTCGGCCGCCTTCCACCGAGGAAGAAATATGAACTCCTTCCTCCTTCGATCCTCGAATACGAGGCCCTGCTTGAATGCCTCAAATGTAGACCCTGGTAAGGGCCTTCGCATGCAAACCCACACACAACCCCAGAAATGTAGAGCCCGCCAAAGGGCACAAGGCGACCTGCCTGCATTGCATCCAGCCCAGTGCATCCAACGCGCGCGCTGGCACCTCAAACTCAAATGCAGACCAACGAACAGTCTACATTCAAAGCACCTTCACGCCGGTCTACCTTCCAATGGATGCTTGCTTTGGGCTCCCTACGGTCATCGTGCTACCACAGGAGCGCTACCACTGCGTAAGGAACGGAACCCCTCTTTGGCCCCAACACCGCGGTGGTGCACGAGGAGCGCTAGAGGAACAAGCGATGAGGGGACCTCAGGAACAGCGAGCCTCTTCCGAAACCGAGCTGTTGCATGCTTCAGTGTCTTGACTGTGTGCCTTTTGCGTCGTTCCGCCGATCGCTCTCGCAAGGCTGCAGGTTCCCCAGAAAGCGCGCGTTCCAAACTGCTCCGATTTACTCGCGCTCTGGAGGACTGGCCCTCGCTGCCGGGGTCTAGCCGTTGCCAGGTTGCGCAAAAATCCGCTGGCCATGGGCGCCAGAGTGCGGCCGGGAGCAGGGGCGAGAATGTGCAGCAAGAGGGCGACAAACTGATAAAGCTGCGCCCTGCCACGACCACTTCCCATGAGCGTCGAGTTGACATCCACACGCGGGAAATGCCGCCCCCCTGGATAGGGGGGCAGTAGAAACAACGGAGAGGCGCAGGCGTCATGTCCCAGTGCGACATAGAAACTCTACAATACCCATTTGGTGGGTAGAAGCATGAAGACGGAAGGCGTTGAACGTAGATTGGGTTCTGCCCGCCCCCTCAAGAGGACGGCAGAGGCAGAATCGCTCGACGCTTGAAAAGGAAGGCGCCTGAAGTAGATTGGGACCTGGGAGTGCAGAAATTTCTACTTTCAACGAGCGCTGGGCGACCATTAGGTTTCGACTATTCTCGTGCTGTCGTAGTGAATGGCGTCAGACTGCACGTTCGCCTACCAAAATGCCTCCGGAATGGCAAGGTCAACGGGCGCTGCCGGCTTCGACCGCACCTGCCAGCCCCGCCGCTGCAGCTTCTTTCCTCGTCACCCACAAGCTCACTTGCCACCTGCCCCTAGAATGCACTGAGCAGCGCTAGGGCGTCCTGCCACTGCTCGCCTTTCTCGCACGCGCAGAGCCCCGCTGCGCAGCTGATAATGCTTGGCTCCAGTCCCGCTTCTTGCATTTCGCCGAACAGCATCATCGTCTGCTGCCACTGGCCATCATTCTCGCACGCGCTGGCAGCAGCATTGAAGCTGACTGCGTCCGGCTCCAACCTTTCCGAAAACAGCTCCCTCAGCAGACACAAAGACTGCTGCCATTGCACGCCACTGCCGCACGCGCTGACTGCGGCATTGTAAGTATAGACGCCTGGCTTCAATGATGCCTCCCGCAGCTGCCTGAGCATTGAAAGCGCCAACTGCCAGCTCCCACGTTCCTTACAAGCACTGATTCCGACATCATAGCTGCCGACATCCGGCTCCAATGTGACTTCCCACAACTCGCTCAAGAGTGTCAAAGCCCGCTGTCGGTAGACGGCTTTGCTGCACGCGCTGACTGCAATATTATAGCTGATGGTGTCCAGCTCCAAGACGGCTTCCTGCGACTCACTAAACAATGACAACACGTGCTGCCACTGCCCGCCTTTCTCACACGCACTGGCAGCAGAACTTAAACTCATGTTATTGGGCTCAAGTTTTCCTGCCAATATGTCCCGCAGCAACGACAACGCCTGCTGCCACTGCCCACCTTGCGCACATGCGCTGATCGCAGCACTGCAGGTGATGATGTTCGGTTCCAGCTTTGCTGCTCGTAACTCACCCAGCACTGTCAATGCCTGCTGCCATTCATTGCCTCTCGCGCACGCGCTAATTGCAGCATCGTAACTGATTGTGCTCGGCTTCAACTTTGCTTCCCGCATCTCTCTGAGCAGGGACACTGAGCGCTGCCATTGACCGCATTTCTCGCATGCGCTGCTTGCAGCGCTGTAACAGATAACGTCTGGTTCAAGCTTTGCTTCGCACACCTCATTCAATAACGACAGCGCCTGCTGCCACCGCTCGCCTTTTTCGCACGCGCTGATTGCAGCACTGAAACTTATAAGACTCGGCCCCAACTGTCCTGCAAGCATGTTCCGCAACAGCGACAGTGCCTGCTGCCACTGCCCACCTTTCTCGCACGCGCTGATTGCAGCACTGCAACAGACCACGTCTAGCTCAAGCCGTGCCTGTGTTAACTCTCTGAGAAACGACAGCCCCTGCTGCCATTGCCCACCTTTCTCGCAAGCATTTATTGCGGCACTGTATGTGATTATGTCAGCTTCCAATGCCATGTCACACATCTCTCTTAGCAAGGACATCGCCTGCTGCGTTTGGCCGCCTTTCCCGCAAGCGCTGATAACAACATTGAAACTAATGGCATCCGGATCCACCACTGCTTCCCGAAATTCACGCAGCAGCGAAATCGCTCGCTGCCACTGCCCACCTTTCTCGCACGCGCTGACTCCAGCATTGCAGCTGACTCAAATGAACATCGTCAAGCAATGACACCCGTAGGATGGAGACGAGACGTGATCCCGTGATTCCTTTACAGAGCACCAACAGCAAATTCGAGAACGACTGGCAACTTGTGGGCCGGCACATTCGCACGGCGATGCCTGGCCATACCAACGAGCTGGTCGGTGAAAAAACCATACACAACAAGGGTAGGCCGCAAGAAACGACTCCCAGCCGCGTGGTAGGCTGGCAAGCGGTGACCCTTGGTGGAAATGCTCCCAACTGCTGCCTCCTCTTTCCCATACATGTATACAACTGGTGCGTAAATGACGGTGCGTCCGCAAGCACAACGGGAGACCGGATGGAGGGCCGAGGGAGCTGGGGGCACAGGCCTCGAGCTCGAGCGTGCCCCCTCCCCCTGCGCTATGGCTGCCCCCCGGTAGTCGTGGCAACGTCGTCGTTGTCGTCGTCGCCGTCGCCGTCGTCGTCGTCGTCTTCACGTGAGGGGCAGTGGGGAGGTGGGCCTGCCCACATCCCCGCTTCCTGCCTGGGATGGCCACCTCTTTGTTCCAACCCGCATCCAAGCCAAGGAACCGAATACCAGTGATGCTCCTCCCCGCGTCCCCGTTGCCGCGACAGGGCCTTCGAATTCCCTCGGCGTGTCTGGCACGACACAGGCACAACGGCGAGCCAGGCCCAAACATCCCATTTCCCCCTCCGCACTGCTTGCTGACAAGGGGTAAGAATTCAAGGCGAGCGCGCGAGAGGGCTACGGTGAGAGCATTGGATAAGGAACCCTTAAATAAGGAATCCAGAGTCTGGAGCCTTGTGGCAAACCAAGTGAGGATTGGCCATGAATATCACCGCCGCCCTCATCAGATAAGGAATCATCCAGGGTCTGCAGCCTCATGGGCACCGCATGCATGGCAAGCCGAAGGATTCAAAGCAAAAGCCGCTGGCCCTCGCAGTGCAAATCACTGAGCCCCGGCGACCCCGGGCCCGCCGCGGCCCTTGAAGCGTTCCGCGGGGAGGCAACGCCACGGGCATCGCCCACGCGTCGTCGGCATGGCAAGTCTCACGAGCGGCGGGCATATCTGCATCCGCACTCTCGCGATCTAAATTCCGGGGCGTGATCCCGAGGATACGCGGTCCCACGGTTACGTTCCGCGCGGGGCATCCGCGAAAAACGCTCCGTAGCCGCGGGGTCGCGGCCCAAGAGCCTGGCTCGCGAGGCCGCGGACACGGATACGTTCGCTTCTCGCCCACGGAAAGCGTGGGCGTGAGGGGACCGTTTAGCTGGACTTCCGCAAGTCCCCCGGTGGTCTCCAGAAGCCAGTGTGCTCCCAATGGCTTCCAGAGACGTCCAGGCGGCCACAGGATCCTCGTGGGGAGGTTAGCTTGCAATCCGCATCGCTCATAATCAAAATCCTGCTCCGTCCCTTGCAGGGAACGTGCCGTCCTCTGTTATTGGACGTATGCAGGAAATTTGAGAGGAGGGACGCTACCTAGGGGCATACAGGTGGAAGTGGAACTTGAAATGTCGGAGCGTGACGACGCACTGCTCGAGGACCATCCACAGATCTCTCACCCACCCGCGGCCGCCCTACGACTGGCCTGCCACTTGCCCACGTGCAACACATATTCCCTGCCACTACTGCGCAGTTTGGTAAGGTTTGAGATGGGCTTTGGAGCAACCGAAGACGGGGCTCCAATGGGAGGTCCCGCGCCATGTTCGATGTATTCTGTGGTGCGCACGCGTCTGGCGATGGTATGTACCACGCAGCACACGTGTATATGTTTTTGTCCAGAACACATGCCCAACGTATGCAATAGGACATATGAAGCGAGTGCATTTGGGCCCTCGGCGATTCCCATCATGCGCAGATCCACCCTTTCATGCAATCCTGGCGTGCTGTTACAACTACAGGTGCAACTTTGTGCGATTACACGAACGACCCCTTGCGGTTAGGTGCAAGACGCCCCCGGGTTGCACGAATACGATTCAGGGGATCGTGAATGTGGTGTAGACGCCGCACTTTAACTAGCAACTGCGTCAACCATGTGGCGATGAAACCCTGCGAAGAGTTGTAG